TAATTTGGGGGCTGGTGGTCCAAAGAAAGTCCAACTACAGATGGAGCCTATAGTAGCTCGGATATTCCCAAGACTCCCTGTACTGGTCACCTCTGGTTCTCAGGTGAGCTATCCTGCAGTTACCCTGTAGAACTGACTTCTAACTCTGGTGCTGGGCCTGTCGCTTCTGCTGGGCGTTTAAAAGACAGTTGCTCTAGCGAATGAAGCATTAGGAAATCTGCTGATGTGTGCAGCAGCCTCAGACTGCTTTAAACAACTGCTCCTTTATTACCCTTGCCAACCCCACAATGACCAAAGAGGCCACTTAATGACAAAGGGATGCAATTAGGCAGTCTCTAGGAAGAGATGGCGGGGTGGCTGGCTGGCTCTTCCAGAAGAACTAGCTGTTGTCCGGTGTCTTCCTCCTAGTCAATTGCAGAGTCAGGATTGGGCTTGAATTTGCAAACGTGACCATGCATGGTATGGACCTGAGGTCACAGGGGTTTTACACTATTCATTTAAAGGTAAAAATTATTGACTACAGAGTTCACACTCATGCGACGCATTACTCAAGAACCATGGAGCATGCGGAGCACCATTGTTTCCTGCTTTAAATCAAAGATCTTTTAGAGTCACATCAAAGGCAAGACAGATGGTTTTCCTTCCACAAGAGAGATGGCTCAGCGAGAGAAGGTGTGGTACCAAAGCCTGACCCACGTGGTGGAGGTAAAGATGTCAGAGTGTCTTCCCCAATCATTCTCCACCTTATTTTCATTTTTATTTTGAGACAGCCTCTCACTGAACCTTGAGCTTACAGGTTCAGCTAGACTAGCAGGGCAATGAGCTCAGAGGACCCATCCTTCTCCGTTTCTCTGTGATTGCAGATGGTGCTGGGCCTGGCTTTCTCTGTGGGCTCCGGAGCTCAGAACTCAGGCCATCAAACTTGCACAGCAAACACTTTCTGACTCAGCCCTCTCCCTGGTCCCAATATGTACAATTATTTTACACGGTTTCTCTGTATAGTTTTGGTGCCTGTCCTGGATCTCGCTCTGTAGACCAGGCTGACCTCGAACTCACAGAGATCTGCCTGGCTCTGCCTTCCCAGTGCTGGGATTAAAAGTGTGCACCACCATTGCCTTGCATTGTACAATTTTTTAAATGGGTTTGGGGTTTGTAGTTGTTTTGGCTTTCAAAAAAAGAGTTACTTTTGTTTTTAATTATGTCTATTCCTGTGTCTGTGTGGGGGTATGGGCATGTGAGTACAGATGCCTGAGAGTTTGTGGGTTCTGGGAACTGAACTCTAGCCTTCAAGAGTGGTACAAGCTCTTAACACTGAGCCACCTCTGCAGCCTCTTTGGCTTTTTGAGCCAGGGTTTTAGTCTGACCTTGACTGTTACCCTCCAACCTCTGGCCTCTTGTATGCTACAATTATAGGTATAAGCCCCACATCTGGCTTTGTTTTTATTTATCAGTTAAGCATAATTTAAAAATCTAACCGGGCGGTGGTGGCGCACACCTTTAATCCCAGCACTCGGGAGGCAGAGTCAGGCAGATCTCTGTGAGTTCAAGGACAGCCCAGTCTACAAAGTGAGTTCCAGGAAAGGCACAAAACTACATGGAGAAACCCTGTCTCAAAAAACAAAACAAAACAAAAACAAAAACAAAAAACTAAAACAGTGAAATCTACAATTGTATTTTCTTTTTCCTTTTTTTTTTTTTAATTTTATCATTAGATTAGGATGTATTTTAACCTGGGCAGTAGTGGCGTACACCTTTAATCCCAGCACTCATGAGGCAGAGGCAGGCAGATCTCTGTTCTTTGAGTTTGATGTTTGGTGTGAAAGCAGTATCTTAGCTGAATTTTCCAAGTCATGTTCTTAGCACCATTGACTGAACAATCCTTCCCTCCTCAAGGCAGAACTCTGTGGCCATGAGAAACTTGGAGGTAGCTGGGAGCTGGATGGAGATATTGTAAGCAGATTCAAGCTAGATTAGTGTTCCATCTCTCCCAAGCCTGAGGTATGCTTCTGTGGTGGATGAAGGCTCCTTGACAGACTCCAGGAAGGGGCTAATCATCCCACAGTAGTGACATGGTGGACCAGGAAGGCTAGCAGGCAGCACCCAAGGCCAGCTCTTCTCCAGAAGAGCCTGGCAGCCCTAGGGAAAAGCCCATTGCTCTCTGCAGAGGTGAGCAGCAAAGCACCCAGATGTCACAGACTGGAGGTGAGTTTCTCTGCATGAGCTTCACAGACGTTTGAGTCTTGCTCAGACTCCCTCCTAAGCCCTGAGGTCTGCCAGGGCCTTGTGGTTTCGGAGCCCTTCTGTCTGTGACCCATGACTGGTACTTCGTGGTTTAGGACAAGAGCCAGTGAAGGTGACCCAAAAGCCTGGGCCCCCTTCCTGCAACTGACAGCCAGCCCACTTACCAGAGTGTGTTCTTCCAGAGAGGCCGAGCAAAGTGGAAATCTTACCTTCTGCTTCTGCAGCAGCCTTCCATCAGAAGCATTTGGCAGTGTGATGTGAGGTATGAACCAGGGTCAGGATGACTGTGGAGATCCTGCCTGGTGTTGATATGAGAGTTCCCCTTTCCCAGCTGCCCTGCAGTTCCATCAGCCAGGACAGCTTTAGGAGGGTGCTGGGGCCAGGCTATGAAGTGTCCCCCCCACAGTCTCGTGTATGTGCGTGTTTGGTCCCCAGCTGACGGTGCTGGAGTGTAAGGCCTGGCTGACAGACATGGATCACTAAGGCTTTCCTTTAAGGGTTTGACCCCTTCCCATCCTACAGCTCTGACATGTTCCTCAGCCCTCCTACCTGGATGGACTGAAGCTGAATCAAACATTTCCCCTCTTGTTTCTGTCATATTGTTGAGAAAGGCAGCCAGTACAGAGGGCCAAAGGACAGGGACAGCCCCTCACATCTGCCTGCCTTGGCTGGTGGTGAATAAACCACTAGAGGCCCAGGAAGACCTTGGGGAGGGCCTGCAAGCAAAGCCCAAGACCTTGTATTTGAGATGAGGAGGCAGAGCCCAGAAGTAGATGATCTACTGAAGGCCATGCCCGCCCAGCTGCCAAGGGAGCCTTCCACACCTTTTGACAAGAGTCCCTTTCCTACTGAGCATGCTATGGGCCTGAGAAGAGGGCACATCTACCTCTGTGTACCGAACCCTTTCCTGGAGGGTGTTCCCACACTGCCAACATCACATGACACACCTCAGAAATGATCACGTGGGTCTTCTGGGGCTTGGAGAAGCCTGCTGAGTTTCCCTCCTGCGGAGCACGTTGATCACTAGACCCTGCCGCCACCTCAGTCTATAACACCAAGGACTGAGGCGGTCCTCTTTTGTGCCCTGACCCAGCCTAACCCAGCACAGGAAATCTTGACATAATGATAATATTAATACAGGGTTTTTTGTCTTTTGTTTTATAGCAACAATTTTTCTTTGTTGGACTGGGTTATGTGCTTTCTCTTCTGACTGTACATTTTCATATTTTCTTATTTATTTTATTTATTTGGTATGTGCATTGGTGTTTGGTCTGTGTGTATGTCTGTGTGAGAGAATCAGATCCACTGGAACTTGAGTTACAGACAGTTGGGATCTGCTATGTGGGTGCTAGGAATTGAACCCGGGTTCTTTGGAAGAACAGCCAATGCTTTTAACCATTGACCTCCCTCTCCAACCCCACATTTTCATATTTTCTCTGTTTGTACTTCATCCTTCAAAGCCCAGCCTGGCTGTCACTTAAGGAAACCCTGAACTCCTAACACATGATGTGCCGGACAGGTGGAGTCCTCTGTCCCATCCAGCAAAAGGAGTCTTTGCTCTGCAGGGCTCTGCTTAGCAGCCTCTTCTGCCAGAGAGCATCCCAGACAAAGTCTAGAAAAGCCCCAGTCCCAGGATGGCTGCACGAACAGGGCAGGGGACCAGCTGGAGGGCAGGCTGCCTTATCCAAGCCATGGACATGAGCCCTGGGGAAATCAAGGTAAAAGGCAGGGGGGCAGGAGGCCCACCCTCCCTATCAATCAGAAGGCCCAGGATAGGGCCAAGGGGCTATGGAAGGAAACCCATACCACCAAGGATCTCAAACAGGGACCTGCCTCTACTTAGTCTTGTGGCTGAACATCATGGAACAGCCCGAAACAGTATTTCCAGCAGAGCCCAATCCTAGCTAGCCAGGTTTGATTTGGGGAAGTGTGCTTATGGGAGGGCTAGGATTTGTTGACAGAAATCTTTCCTTGACATTTTATGAGCAGCCAGGCGATTGAGTTTATTTGGTGAGGGACCTCTGTGGTCTTGGACTGGTAGGGTACTTCCTCGGACACTGGCCCCTGGAGCCTCTTTCCTAAACCCTCCTTGGTCATGTGCTGGCCCGTCAGCCTCTCCCACCCTCAAGCAGGGTCCAGCAGGGAAGGCCTAGGAGGATGTGGGGTGGGGCTCAGACACAGAGAGGGAAGCCACCCTCAGAGCCAGGCTGCTAAAGAGGTCAAATGCCCTGCCAGCTGCCCCTCCCCCACCCCAGCTGCCCCAGCACAGGAGGTGTCCCTGGTATTCCACCTGCTGCACCCAATGCTGAGGCCATCTGAGCTGAGTGAAGATGTCAGAGAAAACCCCAAATCGGATTGAGGCTTCTGCTCCCCCCTAATGAGGTTCATTATCAGCTGCTCTGATCCCTGTAAAACCCAGAAGGCTGGATTAGGGACAAAGTCTAATCCAGGCTGACTCCTCCTGGCTGAGCAGCCAACCCAGGCTGGCTGGACAAACAAACCCGTCAGTCCTGGAGGAAGAGCCGAAGGTGGCAGCTGCGGACTGGCTCCTCTGACACCCAGGCAGGTCTCAGGGAGGGTAGAGAGCAGGAGGTGTCAGAGCATCCCCAAGGCCTGGGGCACGAGAGTGCTCTGTGGGGAGTGAGGTGAGAGGCTGCTCCTGGACCGCTCTGCTGCTGGATCTCAGGTGAGGCCGGATGCTAGGCATTTGGTAGAGACCTGGACAGGAGGTCTCCAAGGAGCAAGTCAAACACACTATGTGTGACTTAACAAAAATAATTTTATTCGCCCCTCCCAAGCAGTAGTGGGAGAGTGGGAAGGAAGCATGTGTCCCAGCCTCTTTCCACCTCTGCCTGCCCGCAGTGGAACCCAAAGAGGAAACCCCTCCTCCACTGCTCTCAACCCAGCACCTTCCACGTCCAACAGTCAGGATTGATTTTAGAGAACAAAATAAAAGACGAGAGCCCCAGCTCAGAGAGAAGTCTGCCCTCTCACAGCGAGCACAGGACTACCTGGACCCAGCGTCACCCACCCCTTTACCCCTGCCACCAAGTAAGCAGCACAGCCCACAGTCCAGCCACTGTCACCCACCCAGCCTGCCAAACCCCACCGACCTCAAACTACACCCTTGCAGCAGAAACTCTAGTTTGAACCTGGAAGACCAGGATCACCTCCTGAGGCTTCCAGACCCACACTCCTGTAGCCAAAGCCCACTCGGGTCTGAGGTGCCGAAGCTGGGTAGGGCAGGAGTGATGCTGCTTTTTCTTCACGTTGAGAGGGAGGGAAGGAGACAGAACCTCAGAATGCACTGAGGAGGTCCACTCCAGCCCACCCAGCCCAGGATACTCTCTTCTGGATGGAAACTCTGGACTTGTCTGCCTCAATTTAAGGCCAAGACCAAGCAGGAGACATTGAGACTTCAGCGGGAATGGGGAGGACTTCACATAAGCTGAAAAACAGGAATTTGGTGCTGAAGCCAGGGCCTGAGCCTCCCGGAACCCCCCCGACCCCTGCCGTAGGCTGCCCTGCCCCGTGCTGGTCAGATGACACTGGGACCCTGTCTTGTCTATGGACTCCTTCACAGCAGACTCCAGGGCTCACTGTAACAGCTAGCTTTCTTGCTACGCTCAGGGAGAAAAGGGAAGAAGGGTAGAGGGGAAGCAAGGGGGTCAGGGGGCCAAAAAAGCTCTATGGATGGCAGCTCCATTTCCTGTCCTCTTCCTGGACAGTTCAGGCTACGGGGTGACTAGCATGGCCCTTCAGGGTCCTCATCCTGGCCCGGAAGTAGGTGTACATGGCTAGTAAGCCCATGAAGGACACAGAGTAGAGCCCCACACAGAGGCTAATGTCCAGGTGGGAAAAACCCCCTCCCAGAACCTGTAGCCACGGGCCTTTTTCCTGTACAGCTCGGGCCTCTGGTCCCCCTTCAGGTATGCTGGCTAGTTGCTTGGGGCTGCGGCCCCCTCGCCTTAGCTCTAAAGAGCCTTGGAGGTGGTTCACCTCAGGCAGCAATAAGGCCTCACTGTGTCTCTTGCTCAAGTGATGCTGGCCCTGGGCATGCTCCTGTGTATCCCTCTGAAGCTCTTCCATGTGCTCAGGAGGGCCCTGCCCTGGTGGAGCGCCACTCATTCTGAGGCCTGTGTATAGTTCCTGGGGGTCACTTGCTTCAGGCTTCTCAGCTCGAACATCTAGGGCAGGAGCTCCAGGGGACTTTGTAGAAGCAGCCTGCTCATGGCCCAGCACTGAATTTCTGGTCTCCAGTTTTAATGCATCCATTACCAGCTTTGGGGTAGTTTCCGGATTCTGGGGACCCCTCTGGGTTGTTAGTCCAGCTGCAGGAGAGTCCATGATGATGTTTCCTGGGGAGAAGTGAGCCTTGAGAAAGTTGAAGGTGGCATCTACATCCCACACAGGCTGCTGTCCGCTGAGTTCATTATGGCAGGCAAAACACATGTCACGGGGTGGCCACTGCACTTTGGGGAAGACGGGGTCCTCACTCGGAGCACCTGGGGAGAGAAACACATATAGTGTTTGGTTGTATCTGGTCTGCGTAGGAGCTCAGGTTTCCTGTGTTCAGAACACCAGCTTTTTCATCTACAAAAAGGCTCCCCAAGCCTTTAAAAGGATGGAAGATAAAATACAGATACAAAACAAAAAATTAGCATGTGGCCAGGCCTGGTGGTGCAGGTCTGTAATCCCGCCTACTGGGGGATGAGGTAGGAGGAGGACGATCAGGGCCAGACTGGCCTCTGCCTCAAAAAAGGGGCAGAGGAGACTTTGGGGACATAGCTCAGTGAGCTAGGCCCTAGGTTCAATCGCCAGCACCACCCCAAACAACCCCTGGCCCAATCTGCACAGTTCTGGCCCACAGCGTGGCACAGCCAGCCACTGCAGCGGTTGGTGGCAGAGCTGAGGCAAGGGTAGGGAAGAGGCGGCTGGGTCTGCCAGCAGTGAAGGCAGGCACTTGTCTTCTTTTCAAAGTCACCAGGAGGCCCCTGGAGGGAACCAGGTTCGGCACCACCTGCTCCATCGCTCCCGCCCTGGGAGGTCCTTCTTGCTCTTCAGACATGTAGTATCCAGTCTCCAGAAGTCTTCCCTCCCAGGCTCTGTGTGCGGACCCACTGTGCTCCCATGTGCAGGGGGAGCACACTGTAAATAAGGGGAACTAGCAAGACGGGGTCCCTGTCTCTCTCCAGCCCACACTGATGAGAATGGAAAACCCCTGCTCCTCCTCCGTTAGTCTGAGTGAGAGGCTAATAGCCAGGAAGCAGAGCAGAGGAGGCAGGAGAGATTCTAGCAGGCCAGAGAGGGGTCCTGGTTCAGCAGGTGAAGGAGCGCTGGCACTGAACACCGGGGTCACACAGTGTCCCAATCTGTTCCCTCTAGACACGGAGCTGACGGTACTGGACTGGTTAGCAGGACTGGCAGCTATGTGGAAGAAGCATAGGCTGTCGCTGAAGAGACAGTGAGAATGCCCCCAAATGCCACCTCCAGCCTTGGAAGTGGCCCTTCCTTACCCGAGAGGCGAGCGTTAACCCTGTTGTGGCTAGTCCAGAGCCAGAGAACTGCACTCTTGGGACTTGTCACGCGGTGCATAGAGGCAGCAGCCATCTGCTCAAAATGGTTAGCACAGTCTCGACAGCCAAAGAAGAACCGAACATAGTTCCGCATGGCTTGGAGGACCTCCTGGCCGTCAGCTGTAGGGAAAGGAGATACCACACAAAGGCCCTTGGTGTTGCCAGCCTCTGCTGTCTCCATCAGGGCTCCCCACAGGCTGCTCCGTCCTCAGCTCGGCTGTGGTCACCAGCCTGTGTAAACTAAGGTCCCTTGCCTACTTTTCTCCTGCACGGGTCACTCTAGAGGCGCTCCATTCCCTCCAAAGCGCCTAAGCTTCAGTGCCTCCTCTCAGGTCCCCGTCATTACATCTACAGAGGGACATTCGGGCTTCATGGGACATGACTGGAGAGTGGGAAGGAACAGAGCACTCACTCTAGCTCCCACGATCCTCCTCTGCCTACCTGCTTCAGGTTTCCCATTCAACTTGCTCTCCAGTGGGCCTTGCCTCTCTGGGCATTCTTAGAGGTCCATCCTGAGCTGGTCTGAATATCTTCTAATTTCTCTTCACGTCCCTCAGTATTCTCACTCTGACCTGCGCCCCGGCCCCCCGCACCCCCCCCCCGTCCCCTCCCGCCCCCCCCGTCATAGGGTGGCACAGCAATCGTCGACTCTCACACTTTTTCTTTACTTGAAACCAGCCTCTCCTAAAGGTGGACCCACCCCAACACTTTCACACCTTTTTCTCTTCCATACTCCATATACCTCAGGGTTTGCTTCCTGTTGCTTCTAATGTTCCCACCTCCAACCCTTTCGAAGGCAGCCTCCTACCTCCATCCACCAGGACCTCACAGAGAGCGCTTACACACACACACACACACACACACACACACACACACACACACACACACACACGCAGCTTTAAAACACCAACGCCTGTACCACTGTGCCGTTTACCTCCTCGGCCTTCCAACTCCATTTCTTCTGCACCCACTCCAGGTATAACTGCCCCCCACACTCCAACTGGCCTCGCCCCTCTGCCTCCCCCTTCTCAACGGCTCCATAACTGTATTCCTGCAAACATTTCCTTCCTTTCTTTCCGCCTCATCAGTTGCCCCCAATCCAGGATCACTCCACCTGGCTCCCCGCAGAGGACAGAACAAAAGGACAGTCTGAGGCACAGCGAGGTGAGCAGGCCCTGGACTCACCTGGTTCTTGTGGGTAGTTTTCACTATACCGACTTGCCTGCACAGTCAGGAAGTGGAAGAGGACCCACAGGGAGCAGGGAAAGCCCCGGAAATGTGGCTCACTGCCTTGGCAGCCAACCCAGTTCACCTTCTCATCGAGAACCGAGTCCTAAGGAATACACGTGAACATGAGGGCACAGCAGAGAAGAGGAAGGGTCGGGAGGAGGCGACAAGAGACGCTCCCAGGACCACACAGCACACAGCAAAGGAGGGCCTCCTCTTGGTCTGTCCCCTCAATGGGGCACCTCTGCCATCTCTACCCACCAAAAGACAGCAGATCCGAGAAGCCATGGTACAGACCAAGCTCTGTCTTTGGAAGAGCAGTGCTGCTCTGACCACTGAGGTCCTGCAAGCCTTGACACCTTAAAAATCCACGTGGTTTGGGCAGAAAGAATAGGTGCCCTGCTGTGGGCCATGATGAGGAAGCTGCTTGGAAGCAGGCAAGAGTTATGGTTAAGAACTCTGGTGTCGTAAATAACTGTGGTGGCTCATCCCTATAATCTTCACATTTGGGAAGCAGATGCAGGAAGATGGCTGTGAGTTTCAAGGCCAGTAGCCTTTGATACAGAGTAAGACCCTATCTTAAAAATAGGACTCCACTGCCTCAAGCCTTGTTTTTAGTCCCAATCACTTACAGGTACCATGGGCCCTTAGAGTAGAAAAGTTATGTAACCGCTCAAACTTGGTTTCTTCACCTACTAAATGGAAACTCTAAGGTCTGAGGATTCAATGAGACAGTCTATAGAACCCAATGAAGGGCAGCTCATTAGTGATAAATGGAATGACCTAATGCAAACTGCTGAATAACGTCGTCGGAGATCTCAGTCCCTCCAGTCCCAGAAATGTCAGGACACTGCTAAGTCTTTACTTGCCTTCCAGACTCACCTTCTTCCTGTCGTCCATCGCAGCTCTAAAGAAACTGTAGGGCATCTTCTTTCTCTGCTGCTTGTAGAGCCAGTCATTTAGAGAGAACAGGAAGTTCTGGACCGAAGGCCGGCCAGGGAAGTACTGCAGGTAGGAACAAGTGCGATTGGAGAGTAAAAAACAATCCTACAGTGTTACAGTCTTCTAAAGAGTAAGGGACTGTGCAGACGTGGGCCAATGCAGGTTTACTAGAATGTTCCAAAGCCAACAGGCACCAATGTAGATTCCTATAGTCTATTTTGGGCAGAGTGGAAGAGACTCTATGTCTCTGAGGCCCTGTGGGTCTCTCCTGTCAAGGCTCAGGCTCTAATGCTGACCTAACCACATGCAACCCCTCAAAGGACGGTCCAAGAGCATGCCACTCCCAGGACTGCTGTGAGCACTGGGCACAGGTCTATATTTCAGGTGGTCCTCAGATGAGCAACTTACTGACGAGCTGGACTTAGGTGGGTAGGCGAGGGGTTAAACATGGGGTAATAGTGAACTGAAGCTGCATCCTGGCAGCTCTTTTCTGATGCTCAGAACCCCCCTTTTACAGCCCAACACCCTTGGGGCAGCAGTTGGGTTCCTCAGACACTGAGATCCCAGGGCACTTTGCCCCGGCCCACCCATGACCACCAACAAACCTGCTGAGAAATACAAGGAGGGGTGGGGGGGGAGGGGACAGCAGGGACATCTTGAGCCATCCTCAGTAGTGAGATGAAGGGAAGACAGACTCAAGGGCAGGGACTTTACAACGGCATCACAAGAGGGAGGAACCAGAGAGTCTTAAGTCCCCAACGCAGGACCCAGCGGGCTTCTGCCCGCCTCCTTTGGAACACCCACTCCAAGCTGCCTGGACTGTGCTCTCTGCTTTTGCTAAGTAAACTGTTCTAGCTGTCGGTGTTTCTTGGCTCAGTTCTTTCTTTTGAAAAGACAAGAACCAAACTGAGGAGAAACCTTCATTGGTAATAGGCTGGCAAAAGACCTTTTGTTTTTGGCCCATAGGCCGCCAATGCGGACAGGCGAGCCCAGGGCTTAGGGCCAAGATCCAAATCTTGACGGTAACTCCCAAGGGCCTCCGAGGAACATGAAAAGCTACTTTGACAATAAGTCAACTCAAATCTGATTAGTATCAGCACTCTAAAACCACAGGGGCTCAGGGGAGGAGGGACTATGCGCATGTGTGCATATGTGTGCATGTACAAGTGGGGGTGGGGGACATAGGGGGTGCAGCAGAGGAGCAGGGCAGATAAAACCACACAGAGCAAAGAGGTCGGTGGAGAAGACAATGATCCTGAGAAATGTGACGAGAAGAGTAAAAAGAAAACCATCTGAAAGAAGAATCCTGGATACAAGATGGTACAGGGGAATCTGCTACCAGATCTAGTCCTCTGGGAAGACGTTAGACGTCCTTACCAAACCTCAGGCTGGCCATCCCCCAGAGTGAAAAATGGCTGGAAAGACTTGTGCTTCAGAATGCTTCCTCCTGGCTAGCTCCTGGGAGCTCTGGGCCCACACACTGATTTACAGCTCAAAGTCAGCATTTCTCACTGACCTCCGCCTGCCATCCTGACTTGGCACCTTCCTTCCGCCTTCTAAGGCCATGCATCAGAAGGAAGGATGAATTAAAGGGCTCTGGACAGCAGAGCAGGGAAACCTTGGTGAGCACACGCCACCCAGTGGCCGGCCCTGACAGCTGCCCACACGTTACAAGGCAGGCTGACCGAAGAGCTCTTCACTCCAGGCTCTCCTGTCCCTGGAGTGCTCAGTTGTGAAAGGCAAGAGAGGGGGTTAGAGGAGATGTGCACTTTCTCCTCAGACAAGGCGCTTCACTTCTCTGAGCTGTCATTTCCCCTATAAAATGATGAACACTACCCACAGAACTTAAGAATGGAAAGTAAGCAAATACCCAGTTCACTGTACAGTCAGCCTGCCAGAGCTCAGGGGAAGGGAGCACTTTTCACTATTATTCTTCAGGAAGGAAGCTTCCAGGGCAGTAAGGCAGAATGTGACAGTCATGCAGGCGAAGGTCAACAGGGCCTCTCCACCTGTGTCCCAGGTCACCCTGCTCCCTCTGTGGGCCATCCACACACCTGGCTTCCCTCAGTCCTCTGCATCAATGCCATCATCCGGTGTTCTCCGAGGGAGCTGGCTTCAGGCCGAAGGGCCCCTCCTCCCATGCTCTTCTCCTGACCCACTGGAGTGTGCTGTTCAGGCCTCTATCTAACCTGGGTGTTTTCTGTGTCTCCTCTCATATGGGCTTCACACAGTGCAAACTAAATACCAAATTGCTTGTAGCTGTGAATAGATACAAGCCGCACAGGAGAAACTACTGCTTTGGGGACTCCCTTGGAGTAGACTGACCTGGGCTGAGGAGTCCTTCTCATTGAGGTCTGCAGGAGTCGGGGAGCACATAGGAGCTTTCCCTCACTGCAGTGGTAGAAAATCAGTACAGAGGATTGCTCTAGATTTGCTCCCTCTGAATGCTCAACAAGATGTCTGTCCCAGGCCTCAGGACTGTGGAGCGCAGGCCGTAGGCCTCAGAAACAAGGTCTGCATCACGGGAATGGCTCTGCCTTGCCTGCGGCATTCCCCACAGGGTCTTCTGTGTACAGACACACGGACCACCGAGCCGAGAGGGTGGGGACGGCAGCAGAGGAGGTGAGACAGGGAGAGAGCAGAGCTTCCCACAGACCTGGGAAGGGCGGGCTTGAATCAGCTGCCACTGAGGGAGGCTGAGTCAGCAAGCAGGCCCGGGGGACAGGCAGCCCTGACTCAGCAGCAAAGCAGGGCAGGCTGGCCGTGAATGGGAAGCCAGAGCGGGGAGGAAATAGAAAGGCAGCTTTGGATGGCAACGCCTCAGCTCAGGCCTTGGGGCTGGTCCTGCTGGCAATTGTAAGGCAAGGCACTTCAGCCCCTGGGCCCCTTAAATGGTAGGGATACCACTTTGCAAAGCGGGTAAGGGGACTAAATGCTTCACATCAGGTCCTTGAAAACCAGGAGCTTCACTCTGAGGAGCTGCCACCTTTCCGAGAAGCCAGGGAGCACAGTTGAGGGTTAACACTAGGGATCTGGGTTTTACCGAGAAGAAAGACAGCAGTGCAAAAAGCGTGCTTCCTCACTCTGGTGGCCCACAGTCCCATCTCCCCAGTCACCATGGCAGGGAGTGAGAAGCCACGGTCTGGGGCTTAAGTGAGGTGGAGGACTCAGGGAAGCAGGCAGAGTAAGTCACTGGATGGCTGGGCATATTCCCAGGTATTGGGGTTTCTCCCCTCTTCCTACAGGGTGGGGTGGTCTCTGGCAATGTGGAGCTGGCACAGAATATAACTGTGAGAGGAGGGTAGCAGTCTAAGGGGGACCTGGACAGGTATGGGCCCAGGTGTCCAGTCAGATCTGAACTCCTCAAGGAAAGGACTAGTGTGGTGTACGGCTTCCAGACATGCATACTAATTACATATGGAACTACAGAGTCAAAGGAGGCTGGGGCTCTGCTCACCTTGGCCAATACGGCAATAAACTTTTTCAGGGCCGCCAGGCGATGTCCGTCCAGAACCGAGAACTTTCCCACTTCTACATGCAAGATGTAATGTAGTGAGGATTCCAGGTCGGCCATGTAGATCTTGGAGCTGAGGACCAACAGAAAGCAGAAAGAGAAGGCGCATCAACCTCAGAGCAAACGCTCAAAGGAATGAAGTGGGGGGAGGGGGGCATTACTGATGTCACAGCAATGCGTCGTGCTGGGCTCTGACAGCAGTTGGCTGAGTGCCTTGGATGAATAACTTTTCCAGGTCTCAATCCCTCATCTGTAGAACAGACATAGCACATTGCTCACAGGTAGGTTGCTAAGAAGACTGAAAACAGATGTAAACCAGCTCGGTGCAGGTAGGTAAGGCCTTCTCTCCAGGTCTAGAGCTAGCCCCTTCTGTAACTCACTAACTAGGCTCATTCTGTTTTGAGCAAAGACCCTTAGGGACAGACAAACAGACGGACAGTGGATATACAAAGCTCTGGAAAAGCTAAGCTCTCTGGGAAAGGGAAAGGCCTAGAGTTTAGCCTCCCACCAAGGCTAGGGGCTGAGACGGCAGAGACGGGAGAGGAAACACGTTCTCTGTTTCTTTCAGGGCTCATATGCATATGGTTTCTAGACCTGTCAGGCCTTAGACCTCTCCAGGCAGTTGTGCCATCCCATGTCCACCATGCTTCCATGGGGTCAGCTCAGGGACTGCTGGGAACAACACTGAATGCTGGTTACTTCTCCACCTCTGCTCCTGACTCCTGGGTTCCGGCCTCGGCATGATGGTGAGCTAGTCTTAGGAGCTCAGACGATTCCTATTTCCTGAGCCACTTCACTTGTAAAACTAAGCAACAGTTCTGCCTCTTGAAGGTATGGAGCCAACAAGGCCGGCTGCCAAGATGAGCAGTGACCATGTACACTTCACTCTCAGGCAAAATCTCTACTGTGGTGTCCTCTGGCCTCAGTTTACCTCACCATTCTGACGCTCTGCTTCAACAAGTGACCTCACTGGTCTGGAGAGATAGCTTAGAGACTATCTCTAATAAGAGACTGTACTGCTCTTCAGAGGATCTTAGTTCAGTTCCCAGGACCCACACCAGGTCGTTTATAACCTCCTGAAACTCCAACTTCAAGGAATCTGATGACCTCTTCTGGCTATGACACACACATATGTATAAATAATAGAAATAAAATCTTAAAAAGTGGCCTTATGATACAGTGAAATGATGTAGGAAGGTAGCAAACACAGAACTTGGCACAACTCTTAGTAACCTGAATAATCCGAATGATAAAAATGACCAATGACACCTTCGTGTGCGTGCATGTGTGTGTGGTGTACACATGTGTGCAGATGTGGCTGCATGTGGAGAGCAGAGGCTGGCACTGGGATGGCTTCCTCAATTGCTTCTGCACTTTATTTTATTTATTTTTTTTTTTGGTTTTTCGAGACAGGGTTTCTCTGTGTAGCTTTGCGCCTCTCCTGGAACTCACTTGGTAGCCCAGGCTGGCCTCGAACTCACAGAGATCCACCTGGCTCTGCCTCCCGAGTGCTGGGATTAAAGGCGTGCGCCACCACCGCCCGGCGCTTCTGCACTTTATTTTTGGAGACAAGGTCCCTGCACTCAACTGGGAGCTCACCATTTCAGCTAGACTGGCTGGCTATGGAGCCCCATTTCTGCCTGACTGCACTCCTCAGCGCTGGGGTTACAGGCGCACCACTACATCCAGCTTTCACAGGGCGCTTGTGATTTGAACTCAAGGCTCACCTTTGCCCAAGTACTTCACTTCCGCTGGGCCATCCCTGGGCACTCATTGTCACCACTTAGTCTCTTTCCTGACTTGATCTACTGCAACTCCTTCCACTGTGCTTCTACCCATCAGGTCTGCTATGCTAGGCTGTGAGACCCGTTCTGCACCTTTCCCCCAGTTCTCTGGGCATGCCCCATTTACAGGCTGTCTTTCTGAGCCAGCACCGAGCTGCCTGCTCAGACAGCCTTGCTTAGTACGTAGCTGGGTACTAGGGCAAGAGGTCTCCCTCTCCATCTCCATGTACAGCAATCCGGGCATTTACTATAAAACCAAAGCCCAGGAGCCTCATATAACCAGCAGTTCTTTCACACTTAAAACTCTGCACAGATAAGGACTACCTGAAAAGTAGCGCACTCCCTGATACCTGTGGCGTTCAGAAGAGGTTGGGTGACTTCCTAGAAGGGATGCTTTGGAGGGGACTGTAAAGTCTATGAGCAGTGACTGCCTGTGTGTAGAGCTTCATTCTGCTCTAAGCAAAAATCACTGAGGGGCAGAAAAACAGATGGGCAGTGCACACACACACACACACACACACACACACACACACACACACACACACCTAAAAAAGCTGGCCCTCTGCAAGAGTGGAAAGCTAAGGACCCAGCTACTCACAAGGCTGGAGAACTGGGATAGCAGAAGGGCCTAGAGGGCAGCATGGACAGCAGTTTGTCCCTTTCAGAGTTGATGTGCATGCGGATGCCAGACCTCACACTCCACTAGACAGATCGGAACCCACAGTCCTAGCACATGTGTGGCCCTGAAGAAATAACTGCTCTGGACACAAGTTGGTGTGGACCCTCTCTAGTAATCCTCCACACTGACTCGACTTCCCACTGTCCTCCCTCCCCCTTTCCTTCTCTCGTTCTCACTCCTCCTTTCTCACTGCACAGTCAGACGGGCCTGGAATGCACAACCTGCTGCTGTGGCCACCTAGGCACTGGCATTGCAAGTGTCCAGCACCATGCCTGGCTTCTACTTGCTTTTGAGAAAAGTTAAGCTTATGCAATGTGGGCGACAGACAGCATTTCTTCAGTTATGAAGGATAATGTGTGATGCCGTTTGGCAAACCCACATTTGGCCCTGAGGCCCTGTCACGAAGACAGGAGAGGCCACAGCAAGATTCCTGAGCATGGTCAGTAGTCATGCACCCCCAAAGGCCTACTGTGTAGCACGGTGTTACTCAACTGGGGACACAGTTCAATGGTAGAGTTTCTACCTAGCATGTTCAAGTCCTGGGTTGAGTTCAAAAACCCAAGGCCAGCTGTGAAGGGACAGATGTAGGCTATCCCCATGACAGGAACAGGAATGAGTAAGGCCATGTTCGTGCAGGGGATGTGGCCGTGATCAGAGAGGAGGAAGGAGCAGGGATGTATGTGAGAAGCTGGTGCCCTTACTGGTCTACAATATTCCACACTGTGGGTGCTATACTCTCAGTAGTGACCGGCGCCGCTGTGGTTGAGGAGGTCTCCCTGATCGGTCCAGACAGTCCCCGGAGGTACGATGTGTAGAAAGACCTGGACTCCATCAGCCTGGGAAGAGGGAAAGGGAAGAGTAAGTATAAGGAAGACTCACAGAGCTGGCCAACGGTCAGGGGAGTCAACAGGGTGGCTCCTCCAACAGAGAGGCGGAGCAAGAACAAGCTAAACTTACCCCCACCTTGTCTTTGGCCCCTTAGGCCTCACTTTAACCTGTCCATTTACTGGACATGCTATAGAAACCCTCTTTTACACCAGTCGGATATGGAACCTCTGTCTGAAAAAGTAACTGGGCCTGAGTGACTCAACATGCCCCCTGTCTCCAGTCAAGGCCACGGTCTTTAGAGGCAGGTGGACTCCACTGGGAACAGCATCCATTCTGCCAGAGAGAACCGGGGATACACTTCGACAGGACAGCTTCTACCAAGTTTGTGCAAGTTCTGGGTTGGGACCCCAGCACCACAAAGACAAAAAACTACCAATGACAGGAATGGCTGGGTTTGACTCTCTTCCCTACAGACTAAAAGATGGCTGGTTTTGAGGCAGTCACCCTCCCATAATCTTGTTCCAAGACAGCACAAGGTAACATTACTCTCCAAGGAAGTCAGAGTTTGATGTGTAATTTTAAAAATAATATCAGTAACAGAGAACCAGGTTTGTCCAAATCCTCCGGATTTCTTTCTCCTAACACAGGAGTCGTAAGGGCAGGAAATAGCTCCTCAAAAAGGTCTGGCCAAGATAAGCATCAGTGACAGGACGTCCCTTGGGAGCCAGCATCAGGAAGCATGGCTTCCCCGCTACGCCATCCGGGCTCACTATCTATCAATGAGCAGATGGTTCGGGAGCAGCATCGTCACAAACAATTTTCTCCTCCACCAACTCCACGTGAGGAAACAATGCCTCTTCTCGCCTCTAGGACTGGCACTTCTGGGCCTGCCCAGGATCTAGCCTAACATTCCCCTTGTGAACATACTTCTTGACTCTGAGAGGCCTGCCTCAGGGGCACTGGTGACCTAGGCTAGGGCAAGGGCAAGAAGCTGCCTAGCTCAGCTTCAGTGTAGGGTGGTATTAATGGCCCCAAGAAGCAGATTTCTGGGTAGCAAGGGTAGCCTTGAGCTCCCCAGATTTCTGCCTACAAGGCCAGGCTGACATCAATCATCTGCCTGCAGAGGGCACCAAGGCACCATCTGGTGCCATTTAACAGGCCATTCAGCAGCAGGAGGCTGACACAGCAGCTGAGGCTGGCTTGATTGTTTTCTCCTGACATTTTGGAACGGGCTATTGTCTGGCTCCTAATGGACTTTTCTGCAATTAGAAAGGGAAAGGGAGGGAAGGTCCAGCATGTCTGAGTCCTTGCCGGGCCTGCACCCTGTCAGTGCACTCCTCTGTGGACAGAGGGGATGGGGGCCATGGCCAGGGTGTGCTGTGGATGGCTTAGAAGCATTCAGGGCTGAGGCAGGAACCCTGAGCTGCAAGGGTGGAGGTCTTGTCTCACACCAAGGATCAGACATCTGCTTCTCCTGCTTGGCTGTTCTTCCTAGCGCTCTCTCTAGGCAGGAAGAATGAATAGACATGGAGGAGACGGGGACATCACACTCACACAGGCACTCGGGAGGCAGAGCCATTCCGAAAGAGCAGGTAGCATGATGGGAAATCAGTGACACCAAACTTGTTCACCACGTCTTTCTCGGTATTCAAGACCCTGCGCACCGGTATATGGCGCTGGGACAGGTCCAGAGCTACCTGCAGAGACAGCAGGATGTGAGGGGCTTACCCAGTGGGGAGAGAGAGCCTGAGCAAATGGCCTGCTGTTTGGTAGGGACTAGGCAACAGCTATATTCTATATAGACTTGAAACCTTGCAGAGCGGACCACCATGATAAGCTCATACAGCCCTCAGGTTATAACTACCAAATACCACCCAAGATGAGGGCCTTGGAACTGTCCAGATGTCCTATGATAGTACCAACTGAATGTGATAAAATGTGGTTTTATTTTTATTCTTTTTTTTTTTTTTTTTGGTTTTTCGAGACAGGGTTTCTCTGTGTAGCTTTGCGCCTTTCCTGGAACTCACTTGGTAGTCCAGGCTGGCCTCGAACTCACAGAGATCCGCCTGGCTCTGCCTCCCGAGTGCTGGGATTAAAGGCGTGCGCCACCACCGCCCGGCTATTTTTATTCTTATATAAAGCTTTATATCTATATCCTAGGTCAGAGAAGATATACTGATCAGACACAATCCTTTTGTTTTTAGGGAGAAATAATGGGAAATAGTATCTCCTGTTATGCACTACATTGTATATTAGAATGCCACATTTAGTCTGCAGACTAACACTGGAACAGCAGCCCCTGTCAGGCCCTTACACCACAGCTGCGGCAGGTGAGTCCTGCTTCCACAGGACCAATCTTTCCTTGACTCAACTTCCTTACTTGCAAAATGATCGTGATGACAGCAGTAACAAATCATAAATCTTATGAAGACTGCACTGATAAGATTTATTAAAATCCTTGCAGTAATAGCCAGTATATGGTGGACATATATGCTGTTTACTAAAAATATATCATTTGGGCTGGGTAGATGGATCCATTGATAGTGTTTAAACACAAATGTGAGGATTGGACTTCAGATGCCCAGAACTCATGTAAAAGCTGGGGTGGTTGCACACATCTGGAACCCCAGCATGCCTATGGTGAAATGGGAGGTGGAGACAGGAAAAGCCCCAGAAGCACACAGGCCAGCTAGTCTGGCATACATAGCAGTGAACAAGAGACCCTGCCTCAAATAAAGTAGAAGGTAAGGACTGACATCTGAGGTTGTCTTCTGACTTCTACATGTGCATCATGGCATGCAGATGCCTGTGTGAACACACACACTACATATATATGGGAAAAAATTTCACCTGGGTATGGTGGGGCACACCTGCAATCCCAGCACTTGGGAGGTGGAGGCAAAAAAGAGTCATGAGTTCAAGGCCTGTGGTGGTACCAGCTGGTACCAGGGAGCAGGGTACTGCTATGACAGACCCGACCATGCTGCTTGTTGGCAGAATGTGGACATAAGAGGTTTCAGAAGAGAAGAATATTAGTAAGTACTGGGGAATATTATTCTAAAGTGTGTTACTTTTGTTTATGTTGTATCTGTTTAACTCTGTGAAGCTGTGTTACTGTGCCTGTGTAAAACACCTGATGGTCTAATAAAGAGCTGAACGGCTAATAGCAAGGCAGGAGAAGGGATAGGTGGGGCTGGCAGGCAGAAAGAATTAATAATAGGAGAAATCTGGGAGAAGAGAGATCTAGGGGCAAGAGGAGGAGGAGGACATCAGGGGCCAGCCACCCACCTACACAATCAGCAACGGAGTAAGAAAGAAAGGTATACAAAAACAGAGAAAGGTAAAAGCCCAGAGGCAAAAGACAGATGAGTTAATTTAAAGTTAAGAAAAGCTAGCAAGAAACAAGTCAAGCTAAGGCCAGGCATTTATAATTAAGAATAAGCCTCCATGTATGATTTATTTGGGAGCTGGGTGGTAGGCCCCCCAAAAGACCAAAGAGCCAAAAGAGCAAAAACAAACAAGTAAGTGTCCTAAAAACTGTTCTTGTGATATCTTAGCAAAGAACGTGGCTGCTTTCTGACCTTGTCCAGAGAATCTACCTGAGGCTAAACAAGAGTTTTGGATTAATGACATTGGCAAAGGAGATTTCAAGACAATCTAGTGCTGATTCTGTGTCATGTGGCTATTAAGAGTCACTCTTATGAAGATCTATAGTGAAAAGGAACAAGCTGAGCAAGGAGAAATACAAAATGTACAGTTTGAGGAGAAAAAGCACACCGGGAAATGTAATGGAGCTAAGTTGTGTGCTCAAGGAGAAAAAAAGTTTAAAGAAAAGCCTGATCCTAAATGGAATAAAGGGAGTGGTGGCTTCAGGGCAAGACCCCACCCAGTTAAGCTTCCAACTTTTGAAAAGGTTCCAACTAAAGAAAAGCTTAAGCAGTGAAGGAAACCATGAAAAACAGAAAGCTGGTGGAAATGTATTTGAATGAGGACATGGAGTTCCAGCCCCAGCAAGCAGTAGAACTTGGTAGCTTCAGCTCCGTGGTTCTGGTCAAGGACATAAGAAATGGGTTGTTGAATCTCCCTCCACAGCTAAGGAAAGCCTCTGAGGCCAGGTGTGTGTCAGGGTGTCCCTGTATGGAGGCCCAGAGAGGCCATTGTGTGAAGTTGAAGCCTGGATTGCCTTGGAGACTCCAAGATGTTAGAGATGCCAAGAGTTGTGGGAGACCTGCCAAGGAGAGCTGCTAACAGGGTATGGAACTAGCCAAAGAGAGAGAAGTGTGTTGCAGTCAACACAGGTTAAAGGAGTTGGAGATCTGAAGAGCGCTTTGACATCAGATATGGAGATGCAGAGTTTGGAGTTTGCCCTGCTGGTTTTCAGTCTTGCTTTGGTCCAGTATTTCCTCACTCTGGTCCTTTTCCTCTCTTTTGCAATAGTAATGTATATGTTGTGCCATTGTATTCTGGAAGTATGTGATCTGCTTTTTTATTTTGATTCTACAGGGGGTTACAGTTAAGAGACTGCCATGAGTCTCAGAAGAAACTTTGTATTTTGGACTTTTGAACAGTGTTGAGACTGTTAGAGACTATGGGGACTTCTGAAGTTAGAATGAATGCATTTTCGCATTATGATATGGCTACAAGTCCATCGGGGCCAGGGAGTAGAGTGGAATGTGGTGGTTTGAATAAGAATGGCCCCCATAGGTTTAAATGCTTAGGGAGTGTCACTATTTGAAAGGATTAGGAGGTGTGGCCTTGTTGGAGGAAGCGTGTCACTGGGGTGGGATTTGAGGTTTAAAGTCCACGCCAGGACCAGTGGCTCTCTTTTCCTGCTGCCTGTGGATCAGGATATAGAATTCTTTGCTACTTCTCCACCACCATGTCCCTGCCATGACAATGGACTAAACCTCTGAACTGTAAGCAAGCCCCAATTAAGTGTTTTCATTTAGAGTTGCTGTGGTCACGGTGTCTCTTCACAGCAACAGAACACTGACGGAGATGAGGCCAGTCTCGGTTACCCAGTAAGTCAGAGGCCTTCCTGGATTATGTGGCACTCCATCTCATAAAACCAAATCAAACCACATGCTGTTCTGTAAACAGACTAGACAGTAACAGTAAACAGAATCCCGCTCTGTAGCTGAGGAGCCACGGTGTAGAAGTGAATCATGTTGTGTGAGGTGAAGGGAGAACCGATTCTAATCAGCATCTGTCAATCATCGGAGTTTGACAGGCCTAACCAAGACATAGAAGGGCCTCAGAGGGTTGGGCTCTATAGGAAAGCTGCTGGCAGTCTCCCTAACTACACTCTGAAGAGCTGAAAGGTCCCAGACTGTCATCAACAAGGAACACTGTCCCGGACCCACACTAGTGTCTAAGTTCACCTCCTCAGGTCTCTTCTCCCAGCATGCCCTTAGAACATGTAACAAGCATGGGCACACCCACCTTGCATTGAAGAAAGGCTCCCAAGTCATCTGTGGCAAGTCCGTGAACTAGCACTATAGTGCGTGCTCTCTACAGCAGGCGAAGAAGTGGATCTTTATAAAGCACCTCCTGCATGCTGGCCACTGAGTCAAGCTCTTTATCTAAATTGCTAATATGAATAATATGAATAAACATAACCACTTCTATTCAATAGTTAGGGAATAAGGCTCAGAAAAAGTTGGGAACGTGAGCAAAGTCATTCCTTGAACTGATGGAGAAGTACAGCACTGCTGGTCACGAGGGACCAGGTTACTTCTCACGTGTCTGCTTCCCTCAGTTTTCCCTCTCTTTTAAACCCCAAACCTGTGCAGTTAGGGCCGTGAAGAAACAACACCAGCTGAGTCAGGCAGCCCTGCTCCACACTCCTAGATCCTAGACCTAGATCCTAGGGTGATCCTAGACCTAGATCCTAGGGTGATCCTAGACCTAGATCCTAGTGTGATCCTAGACCTAGATCCTAGGGTGATCCTAGACCTAGATCCTAGTGTGATCCTAGTGTGATCCTAGACCTTTCATCCCACTGTCTTAAATTTGGGGATTAGCAGAAATGTGTTGGTATCGTCCTGACTCAGTAGACAGCAGCTATTACTTTTAGTTTCAGAGAGAGAAGCGAGAAGAGACACTAACTTTTTAAAGTGGAAAGGTACCTCTACACTTCCCATATGCCCTACCAGGGGCCAGGCAGTGCCTAGCTAATACATGTACAGGGGCTAGCCCCCTGCATTGGTCTGAACTAGACGTTCTCCCCATGGCCTCTTCTCAGACTCAGGGAAGCTGGGGCAGCTCACCTCTCTACCCAGGTAGGAGTCTTTGTTTTCAAAGATCAGGGCCAAGTACTCTATGTTATTTCTTGTAAAGAATTTGTTGATCTCCTTCATCCTGCAAGAGATAAATGGGGTCACTTTCTCTCCATAGTCCATAGAAATAAGGTAAGACTCCTAGTGATGAGCACTTCCCATGTACACGTTTCCCCATAACCCTGTGGCCTCCCTCTGCCAGCCTGCCAATGGAAGGAAACCAACCCCTTAAGTCTCAGAGGATGCTACCTAACTCTTTTTATCCGATCCACCTTGGGTTTTATTGCTTTATACTTTTCTTTCTGTCCCTTTCAAGAGTCAGGAGTGAACAGGAGGCAGGCTGGGGAGGAGATGTAGGGACGCTGTCAGACCAACTGTCTCCACTTCTGGGTAAGGCCCAGGCTTACTGAAGACAGTTTTATTGGTTCTCTAAGAGACTGGGGACTAGAACCCATTAAACACAAGCCCTGGTCCAAGGCAAGTCATGAGCAGTGGGGAGAGCTGCGTTTTCCTCTCAGGACAGGAGGAGAAAGGGAGGCAACAGCTGGAGTTCCGGGTCAGGAGGTGCGGAAGCCTAAGCCAACCTCTTCAGCTCAGGGCGAGGAGAGCGAGGCCCAGTTTTCTTGGGTAGAAATGATTAAGAAGGTAAATTCTATCTCTCAACCAGATAACTAAGCTACAGGTTGTCTTAAAAACTCAAAGAAAATTGTGTTTCTCCACTCCAGTTAAAAAGATAGCACCAGGCCGGGTGGTGGTGGCACATGCTTTTAATCCCAGCACTCGGGAGGCAGAGGCAGGCGGATCTCTGTGAGTTCGAGGCCAGCCTGGGCTACAGAGTGAGATCCAGGACAGGCACCAAAACTACACAGAGAAACCCTGTCTCGAAAAACCGAGAGAGAGAGAGAGAGAGAGAGAGAGAGAGAGAGAGAGAGAGAGAGAGAGAGAGAGAGAGAACCAGCATATGCTTAAGAGGAGGATGAGTGAGAAGACACAGGGGTGAGGAGAGAATGCATCTTCCTTTTATCCTCAGCCTGGTGTCTCACTTCCCCGCAGTTAACCCAAAGACATGTAGCAAATACCTCCAAACAGAAAGGGTGACATTAGGTCACACTAGAATCCAACCTGGTGGCAGTATGAATGGATATGCCAGAGAGGTGGGGATTAGGGTAAACCTTTGATGGGTAAAAGAAGTTTTGTAAATAATATCAGCCTCTGGGTGGCATTACGTGGCCAGTCTCTCTGACCACATCCTCATACCTACCCTAGGCTGGCAGAGGAGCAAGTCCTCAGCCTTCTGGAAGAGGCAGTTCAAGTTTCATCACGTGTATCTGCCTATATTCTTCCTAAGGGGCATCAAAAGGATCACTTTGAGACAGGTTGACACATTTGGCCAGTTTGTTGCTTTTAAGGTTCCCAGGGCTGGCTGAAAATGTATATAGAGGACGAGTGTGTGTGTGTGTGTGTGTATGTGTGTGTGTGTGTGTGTGTATAAGAGAATGAGACAGAGACATAGCCCTGAGGAAATGGAAGGAAAAAAGGACCAGGGTACAGGCTAATATGCATTTTCTAGAGGGATGATATTATGGCTTGGATATGAAATGTCCCCACAAAAGGCTCATGCATTGAAGGCTTAGTCCCCCGCTGGTGGGTCCAATCATTGAGAGATGATTGGTTCATGAGGGTTCTGACAATCAGTAGATCACCCAGTGTATGGATTCATAATTTCATGGCAGAATCAGGAGGTGATGGAAACTTTCAGAGGTGGGACCTAGTTAGAATAAGTACACAACTGTGTACATGTCCCTGGGGACTAGATTGTCTTGAACTCCTCTTTGTCTTTTTTTTTTTTTCTTTTCTCTTACTCCTTCTGGCTGCCATGAGGTGAGCAGCCTCTGCTGAATGCTCTGGCTGCCATGATATTCTGTATCATCTTAGACCCCAAATAATGGGTTCTGCCACATATGGACCAAACTTCTGAAATGATGAACCAAAACAAATCCTTCTTTCTTTTAAATGATTTCTCAGGTATTTGTCATAGCAGAGGGAGAGGGGACCAAGAGTTACCACAGATGGAGTCTTGTTGTGGAACCTCAATCTACATTAGGAGTATATGCTTGGCCCCAAGGTCTCTGTGAGGCCCTCTAGGAAGGTGAGGGATTGACGAAGATGATAAAGGAGTCATTGTGAATTGGATTCAACACCAGTTGACCAGTTGACCATTTTCAGTTTACAAACAGGGCTTCACTGAGCATCCTAGCCTTTTCTTCAGAATGGCATCTGACCTCTTCTGCCTTCTCATTTGCCAGTGGCCTACCCTGGAGTAGGCAGGGAAAATATCCTACACCCACAGACACTCCTGAGGACCAGACAGCAGAAGCAACAGCTGAAGACCTCCCTTCACACACTTTTTCTTCCACCCAGCCGGTCAGGCCCTTTGACCCTCAGACAGCCCCTAAGGGACAGGACTCGTCAATACCTGAAGGGAAAAAAGGTCATTACCAGCTACTCTAAAATCTGTCTAGCACATTGGGGTGTCTACTCCAGAGGTAAAGGGCACAGGAAGAATCAATGTGGGTCCTCTGCCCCATGGTTCCCAACACCTTCTCCATGCTTGGGCCCCTGACCGATGCTACACTAAGCCTGCCCCAACCCAAAATACTTGATAGGCTTCAGTGGTGGACAGGCTGAGGGCCATGTGTCATTGTGGGACTCCAGAGCATCAATGAGCCTCCTACGTAGCGTCTCCACGTTAGCACCAGCCACTGTAAATGAAAACAGGAAGAAGACATCAGGACAGAACAGACTCCTGTACCCTTGTCAATTTCACTCACAAACCAGGGTCCCCGGACCAATTCCAGGAAAAAGCACATGCCAGCCCTCCTCTGAGAAGGTGGTAGGGTGAGGGCTTGTGTGGCTTAAAGCAAAGCCAGAAGCCCCATCCCTGCATCTTGTTTCTGGAAGCTATTCGGTGGACAGTGGAAAGTCACCGGTGGTCACCGCAGACCATCTGAGGGAGAAAGGGACTCCTCAGCACAGGTTAGCTTTCCATGTGCCCATCTGCCCCTGCTCCTTTCCCTGGAAATGGGTCTCTGAGCCTGTGTCTCCTCAGTGAGAACTCTCAGCCCGTCATAGCACTCAGCCAAGGGTCAAGGATCCAGAGGGCAGAAAGGTGTCCCTCAGAACTAGCTGCAGGTTTAGGGCTATTCTGGGAAGATGGTGCCCCATCCACAAACCCACGACTTTGGACAGGCCACACTTGAAGGGCTGCTCAGCTGAGCTTTCCTGAGGCCTCTCCCGGGCTGACTAAGGAGACATATGTGGGAAGACAGCCTTTGCTTGGGGACCTCTTCTCCTTTGTGAAAGGGGTTTTCTTGACTCTGTAGGAACCCAGGTCAAAGCAGAAGAGCCGGGGAGGATACCGGCAATGCCAACGCAGCAGCCAGAGCCAGAGCACCCACCTGATAACGCTGTGCCAGGACCACTCTTGGAGAAGGCCTTAAAAAACTGAAACAGACGAACAAGAGTCAGTGGATGTCACACGGGCCCGCGTCTAAAGTGCGGCTGCGTTCTACCGGGTGCTTTGGACAGAATATTCTGAGTCCCACTTTCTTCACCTGTAACTGAGATCATAGAGGTTTTGTTCTGGAACTTTCTCTAGTGTCCTCACAGTCAACCCCTCCTCAAAGCCAAAGCACTCTTAGAACTTGGAGGCAGCAGCTCAGAAACTTTACTAGAGACCAACTCCACAAAGCCCTGGCACCTGCACATTGTTTCTGGAAGCTATTCGGTGAACAGTGGAAAGTCACCGGAGGGCTTCACACAGACCCGCTGGGGAAGAAAGGGACTCCTTGGCACATGGTAGCTTTCCCTGTGCCCATCTGCCCCTGCTCCTTTCCCTGGAAATGGGTCTTTGAGGCTAGTGTCTTCTCAGTGAGAACTCCCAGCTCGTCATGGCACTCAGCCAAGGGTCAAGGTTCCAGGACAGGTCCTACTGAGAGGTGGACCTGTGCCCTAGAAAAATGAGACTGTGTAGCACACAGGCCCCTTTCGACACCACGTTGTCCTCTTTCCCCAAACGTGTGACACCCCAGACCCCGTCTGTCACTGGAGTGAGAGGACGGGCAACCTGGACTTGCTTCTGCCCAAGGGACATGACAGCTGCGGGCTCTCGCCTGCATCCTCCCATCTCAAGAGGAAACCATGGTTGTCCCGCAAGATACTCAGCTATCTGCAGAAGAGCCTGAAGGCTTCTTCAGGAGGTCCGCAAACCTCATTTTTGGCCTTTTTTTTTTTTTGCAAATTTAGTCCTCTATTTCAACAGCACGGTCTCAGCCTTATTCCAAGCAGGTGGTTAGGTGCAGCCGGAGGGTCTGGCAGAACTGAGTTCAAGACCTGGCTTTGGTATGTTCTTGCTGTGTGACCTTGGGAAACCCTTTAGCTGCTCTACACCTTAGCATTCTGATCTTTAAAATGAGAATGACGCCACCAGCCTAGAACTGTTATAAGATTCAGCAACATAAAAGCTAAAGTAATCAAGGCACACATAACCAGTGCATATACTAATTGACCCAATACATGTCAGTCCATCACCATCATTCCCTTCTACACACAAACCCTTTATACCAGGAAACAATGGCCAGCCAGGACGGGTCTGTTCCATTCATGTGTAGGCAGGAAGGGAAAATCACATGAGTAACAGACTGCAGAAACCAGCCTGTCCCCTACCTGTGACCTTTGCCTGCCTCCTGTGACCTCACTGCCTCTCCTCATGCTCTTTACTCCATTCTCTTTTCAAAACATGAATGCAGTACTTTATTCATAAGCCATTTACATATGTCACACATATACCCACGTTCCTGACAGTTACTGGACAAATCTTGACTTGGTAAAATTATTATTCTAATACTTGTACAATGATCACAAATTTCCTGAATTTTTTGTGACATGAAATCAAGTTTATAACACACATTAGAATCTTTAGGGATAAACACTGCTTCTTTGATAAATGGGGCACTGTAGGGTGGTTTGCTCGGTGTGGGACTGCTGTTGTACTTACTCACTTTTGTACAGACGGGACAGACTTCAGCTTCTTCCTAGACCTCTCAAGTCCCGGGTCAGCCTTCAGTGGTGTGGCTTTCTCATAGCTACAGCAGTTACATTCAGGTCTGCACAATAACATGGTGCCTTTTCCTTCCTTCATCAGCCATTAGGCTGCCTGAGTCTGAGTAAGTACTTGTCCTAAAAGGAGCTGGCATTCTGCCCCCCTCCAAACAAAAGGTGTCTCCTTCACCCTCAATTTCAAGGCTCTAATCTACCATAGGAACTCTTGAGTTGAAACCAAGAGTGATTCAGGAGACCCCTCCCACACACAGAGTGTATGACAAAGGAAGTTCTGTGCCATTACTTGGCCTTCTCAGTATTTAGAAACGCCCTATCTACCTTCCAGAACACTATTACCCTCTGAGAACACAGCTCCCACATCTCATGATCTTTAGAAACTTTTCCTACCAATTGACATCTTTCTCAGTATTCCCTTTCTCTACCAGCTCCTTTCCTAGAGATCCTAAGAATCCTCATGTAAATTGTAGAAGGACAGAAGGGAAGAAGGGCAGGACTATGGAAAGGCCTCCCTCCTATCTCCTGCATTTCCTGTTTCTCTCCACTGTCACATGTCTCTTCTGCTCCCCGACACCTCTCCCGACTCCTCGGAGCCCACCCCTCAGCTAAAGTGCCTCAGGAGAACCAAGCGTTGATCTCTAGCCAGTCATGAGCATCTCCCGGCGAGGCTTGCACTCTACGCAGTAGCTGTCCGCTGCTTTCCACCTCCCTGTCCAACTTCCATTTTTTTTTTTCATGCACGTTGTCTTGAAACTAGCTCTGCCTTGTCTTTTTTTTTCCATGTTGCCACCCTCCCTGGTTGCTGGGCAGTGACCAGCTCTTCTCGGCTGTTAACCCTCGTTACCTTCACCCTGGACGGCTCGCCTGCGCCACTGCCATCACCATCTGCTGCTCTTAGTCTGTCTCCTGTTGCTACACATCAGCTCACGTCATTCTTTGTCCAAAGTGCCCTGAAAGGCACCATCCAGAGGAGGGGGCTCAGTTTATACTTTCAAATGAATGAATGAATGAATGAATGAATGAATGAATGAATGAATCAAGAACAAACCTACGGTTTCTGTTCCCAAGCCATTCACTTGGTTCAACTGATTTTCTATCTGAGCCTTGTGTCTCAGGTCCTCGCCTGTCCTAGACTTCTGGTTCCTCCTGGCAAACTCTGCTGGTGCCAGGCACCCCTACCCACACACCAATGCTGAGGTACCCCTCCTTCAACCTACTTCTGCACCTGGGTTTTATCTCACCCAGCAATCAGGACTCCTCCCTGTTTCCCAAACTAGCATGTCCCTTCCCTCCAACCCCCATGCAGTCATCTGGCGAGTTCCGTGACTCTGCCTTGGGGATACCTCTTCAACAGCCTTGTCGCCTGTCAACAATACCTCTCACCTGGTCTAGGCCAGGACCAACAAGGAAAGCCTAGTTCCTGATCTATGACATTAGTCCCTATCTGCTTTCTCTTCGTGAGTCAGAAATGCTAATCCTCAGCCAGTGAGGCGGCTCAGCAGGCAAGGGAGCTCACAGCCAACTTTGACCGTCTGAGTTCAATCCCGAGAGCTATACGGTAGAAGGGGGTAACTGACTCCTGAAAGAGAACTGACTCTGACCTCCAAACGCATGTACACACACACACACACACACACACACACACACACACACACACACACACACCCTCTCAATCTGTTCTTCAACCGTCTTCCTCCTTGCCACTGGGTTTCCTTCTCTAAGGAATAATTATGGGATTCCTCTTCGGATTGCCATAACTCTGCACGGGCTATGAATAAGATCCATACATTTAATGCCTTCCTTTCAAGATCTGAACCCAAATTGACCTTCCTCCATTCCATATACTCCAACCACAATGAACTTCAACCTGAACTTACCATCTAGTAACCCACTGGGGTGGTTCCAATAAGAATGACCCCCAGAGGCTCATATGTGTCAACGGGGACTGGCATTATTTGAAAAGGATTAGAAGGTGTGGCCTGGTTAGAGTAGGTGTGGCCTTGTTATCACGGGGATAAGGGGGAGAGGGTGGGAGTAGGGAGGTGAGGGTGGGCTTTGAGGTGTCAAAAGCCCATGTCAGGCCCAGTGTCTGTCTGGTCACCCCTCACCTGGCTGCAGAGCAAGCTGTAGCTCTCAACTACTTTTCCAGCACTGCACCCGCCTACATGCCACCGTGCTCCCCACCATGATAATGAACTAGCCCTCTGAAACTGTAAGCCCCAGTTTAATCTCTGTAAGAGTTGCTTGGTCACGGTGTCTCTTCAGAGCAACAGAACAGTGAATAAGGCACCCACCCACCTGCCTGGCTTGGGTAGTACTAACAGCTTATACATCACTGCAAGCCCCACTGTGCCTGGTATGTGTCTAGCATACTTAGCTGTCCAATCCAGCAGCCAGAGCCCTTTCATCATCTTGAAGGCTCAAGTGGAAATCTAGTCAGGGCACATTTTTGTCCTCTTAGGAAAATACATCCTTGTTAATAAGTCAGCCACTGGAGGTGTGTGTCTACCTGAGGTCAATTACCCCTGAAAAAAAGGCAGCAGAGCATCCAGAAGGGCCGCAGATCAAGACACCAGGAACGAACAGCTGAGCAGAAAGCACAAGCTCCAGGAATGACCAGTGGTGGCGCTGGAGCCACGCACACAGAACCGGTTTTCAGAAACACAACCAAGTCTCCAGGCATTTTATAGTGAGCTCAGAAAGATCAATAGCCTTGATTAGTTTCTGTGCGCTGAAAGATCAGTGTGGAAGGTGGTTGGAAGGCAGCAGGTAACAAGAGGAGAGGGGACAGCCCAGGTCCTTTTCCGGAGAGGGAGGCGACACCTGGATTCTCTGTCATCTTCAACACTCACCTCTGGCTGCAGGGTTCTCTCAGAGCTCCACAAAGTAACAGCCCAGACTCTGCACACCACGCGTGCTCCACACTCTGCCTGGCTTTCAAGGACCTGCTATTCTTGGGCTCCTACTTCCCATGCCCTACCTCACCCCAAACATGAGCTTCCATGCAACATGCCACACAGTTCTGCCCATCACAGGGTCCCAGCTCTTACCTTCCCTGCCCAAGGTCCTCTGTGCCTAGGATGCACCCACCACACAGAAACTCCCATTAGATCCAGAGGATAAGAAACAAGAAGAAAACTAACATTTACCAAGTCCCCCAAAATGCCAGTGCCTGGGCACTTTCACACGTAAGGCCTCTCTTTATACTTGGGGATCTTATTAATAGATAGTGTCATCCCATTTTTAGAGGCAGGAAAACTGAGACTGGTCAGGGCATTTAGTGACTTCCTAGGTCACACACACAGTGAGCAGTGGAGCAATGAGTTTGGATCTGCATTGGTGATCTTCTTAGAGATCACTAAATAGGCCTTCACCTCCTAATGAGGGGCACTGCTCTGGCTTGTTCAGTCAAATCCTTCTGCAAACTCACCTCCCCACTCCCCGCATCTTTGTTTTCTTCTAGTGCATTCTGCTCTGGCCTGACTCGCACCTGGCAGGACGAGATCCTGGCCTTTAGGGCTTGGTATTTTCTAAACTGGCTGGGCTAGTGGGGTTCAACATGTGCTCGTGGTGGCAAGGGGCTGGAGGCAGAGAAAAGGACAGTGACACACGTCACTCACTATAGTGGCCCCATCACACCATGCGTCCTCACCTAGGACTCTCACAGTCTCTCTGGGTAGTGAGCAAAGACAGGCTCTGGCCCCTAGAGGGCAGCAGTTAGGGCAACAGAGCTATCTGGCTGCCGAGTTTGCAAGTCTGTTCTGCTTTTTAGGGAGCCTGGCACTTTAGGCTTCCATAGTCAAGACTGGAGATCTTGTGTGAGTACTGTTTTAAAACATGCTAGAACAACCTAGTAGCAAGCTGAACTTGACAGCAGTTTCAAGTGTAACAAAAACTATCATTAAACTTTTGCTTTAGCAACAGTTAACACAAACCAAATTTAGGATCACAATGTAAAGTACACATTTCTTATTGCAGATCACAGTAAAGGTCATTTAAAGGGCGCTGCTTAGAGTCTTGGGGAAGAGGCCTAGCAACAGCGTGAACCACCTGGCCATCATGTAGAGTGCTAAGGACAGGACACTGAGTCCTTCTCCTCAGATGAAACTAAGCAGCAGGTTTCTCAGTGAAGTCATGGAAAGCTGTGCCAAGAAAGGCCAGACGAAAGCTTAGGAAATGGACAGCTGTCTACTAAACTGGCCCAGCCAGGTACTACCAGTCTGGAAATAAAGGAAAGCCAGAATGACCAGGTAAGGTCCCTCCCAGGCTCTCCCACAGTCAGCTGAGCAGCCACGGTGATTAATCACTTGAGGCATCCAGGCTGCGTGTACTTCGTGACTTGGGTAGGTGCTGAGAAGCCTCTGGCCCTGCACCTGCCTGGGCCTCCTCCTCACACCCAGTGTCTGGCCTCTCCCTGGCTGAACAGAAAGCTCCAGGTGTCAGGGCCTACAGAACCCCACTTGATATCCTGAATGGGCTCCCTATGGGCTAGACAGTGGCTAACCCCCGGTGTTCAGGGCTCACTGAGAGGAAACTGAGTCTATGGATGATGGCTCCAGCTGCTACACTGGAGTTCCCACAGCTTCCCACTCAGTAATGCTCACTCTGGCCCCCACAAAGCATACCCACTGAAGTATGTTGTTACATATCTTGGAGATGAGGACAAGTAGTGTCCTTGCCAGGGAGACTTTCTATTTACAGAGGTGACTGCTCAGAGCCTCCTGGATGGTGTGGCAGCAGGTACTGTTTTGCCATACTGTTCCGCAAACCAACCTGATCTTAGAGCATGGGCCTGGGTTCTGATCTTAAGTGGGGGCCATTTAGGAAATGATGACTCTGGGGTAGGGAGCCTCTGAGTCCAGTGGGGGTCAGAGATGGACACTCCTGCAGGTGAAACTGCCCAGTGATCAGGCCCGTGGATCTGACTGAAACTTGAGGTCCCTGAGTTCAGAGATATCTTGTTCCAAGAATAATACTTGGCATTTCAGTCTTCAAAGGCATCTCCTGATTATTCCTAATGGTAGAGGAGAAACTGCTTATCTAGATGCCATTCTGGTGGGTAGGGCTGAGCCCTGGGAGGCCCTTACCCTAACGGCTACAACTCTTTCATTCTGGGCTGTGTAAGGGCTCTTGAGAACCATGGCAATTGTTCAGTCGTCAACTTGTTGGAGAGGCTGGAGAGATGGCTCAGAGGTTAAGAGCACTGGGTGTTCTTCCAGAGGACCTGGGTTCAATTCCCAGTCCACACAGCAGTTCATGACTGTCTACAACTCCAGTTCCAGAGGATCCAACAACCTCACACAGACATACATGCAGGCCAAACACCAATACACATAAAATTAAAAAAAAATTTTTTTTTTTTTTTTGAGACAAGGTTTCTCTGAGTAGTCCTGGATGTCCTGGAACTCACTCTGTAGACCAAGCTGGCTTCAAACTCAGAGATCTACCTGCCTCTGCCTCCCAAGCACTAGGATTAAAGGTGTGTGCCACCATTGCCTGAATATTAAAAACTATTTTTAAAAAATTGCTGGTGTTCCGTGATCACTGACAGAGAATCATCAGAAAGCTCATGTCTCCATCAGAGCTGGCATATGAGAACCCTCATGCCTTGGATGTTGGTGACTTCTGTCCCTGGAAGCTTTGCCATCTGAAGCACTGCACATTTCCACTATGGGTGAGGCCACCCCTTAAGTCACCTGGGTGCACTTGTATGTCAAAGCTCTTCCTTGATGAGAATGAAGAACTCCAGTGTCTCTGAAGAACCAACAGGCCCCAAAGGATGATCCTACCCACAGAAGAGCCAGAGCCTGCATCCCAGAGTAGGAGGTAAGAAGTGAGAAGAATTACAAAGGACCTTGAGAGTTAGTAGCACTCACTAGCCTGTGTGATGACTACTTCACAACACAATGTGGAAATCTTCCCACCCCAACATTCCCATGTGCCATCTCCTTCATAAAGACAGACTTGCTCAGAATGAAAAGGCCCCTTTCGTTTCTGCCTCGATCTCTAAAACAGGCATTTCATCAGATGGTGAACAGTGCTCCAGGACCAGGACTTGAAAGACTCGGGCCCAGAGGCATCAGAGGGCTCCTCAGAGCTCAGCAGCCCAGGGAGGTACCAGGGAAATGCAGAACAGGGGCTCTATGCTCCGCCAGAGCCATCCCCAGCTCTCCTTCCTCTTTATCACATACCCTCACAGTTGGGAAGCCTAGGATGTTGAAGTCTCTGCAGACAGCAGTATTGGCCTCATCAGCACAGTCCAGGACAGCAAGATTCAGGGCCGGCCTCCAGTCTGAAAGGACGAAGATAATTCCAGTAAGCAAGAGAAGCTTTGGCCTTCTGCTGCTCTTCCATCCAAGACCCCACAGTCACTAATCCCCAAAACTCCTCTGAGGAAGGGCATACTTCCTTCAGAAAATGACCTCTAAGACAGTCCCCTCAGCAGACTCACAAAAAAGGACCTATACTCAGCATGCAGTTAAGTAGCACACTACGTTGCCTTGTAATGGTGTCTGCATTACCCTCGTGCTTAGTGGGGTGTGGCCTGGGACTGGAGGAGCTATGAAAACCAAATAAGGAGTGCAGCCCCAGGAGAGGCCCCAGTACTGCCTTTGTCCCCAAAGAGCTACCTGAGAAGGTGATCAGTTTCCAAAGGGAGAACGTGCCTTAGGAGCTTGCATTCCCCAGTGAGGTACCCAGCCAAAACAGAGGCACAAATCCCAGGGGAGAAAGAAGGCAGGAGATCCAGGAACCTCCGAGAAGGGCACCCTAGTAACCCAAGATGACTGGTCATGTTTCCTCTTCAGGCCCAGGCCTAAAGGCTTCTGCCTCAGAGAGCAACTGGCAGAGGAAATAATGGCACAGACGACCAGAAACTGACAGAATATCCACCCATACTAAGCAGCTCTCTGAACTCTGACTCGGGTCAGGGGCGCATTTCTATTCCAGCACAGAGCAAGACATAGATACACGAGGCCACACAAATCTTGAGAAAGCCGTGCCAGTGTCGAATTATATAGCACAGACCTCCAAGATTTGAGGCATTGAAGAGATTAGTCCTGTGGGTCAAGGCATGGACTTTTCTAGCCTTACCCCTACTGCTGGCTCCTCTTGGTAGGAACAGGCAGTAGCCTGTCCACAGGGTTTTGCTCACCTGACTCCAAATCCTGTCTACCCTCCCTCCTGAGTGTCTTCCTCTACTCAAGCCATTACTTCTTTGTCCTGATCTGAGCGGCTCGGCCACCTGATCTGGTTTACTTACTCCCCTTCTAAGCTACCCTCCACACCCAGGGAGCTGGTACAGCATCTCCCACAGAAGGTCTCGTGGGATAATCTCATACCTCCTACTTCTAATGTGTTTCTGTTTCTTTACTCTCCGTGGCTCTAACCGTGCCGCCCTCTACTCACTACTCCTTGGTAGTTCTGAGCATCTTGAGAAGATCTGCCCTCTGCCCACATATCTAGTTCCCTCTTAGCACTTCTCCAAAGCAAAGCCAAAGGTTTCCTTCTTCCCTGACCGCACGGTTCTCACGTATCTTCAGGCACTCCCTAGAAGCAAGGGCCTCTCTGCAGACTCCCCTGTCAGATCTACTCAGCTGGAATACTACTTTCTCCCAGGAAGAGCTGCCTCATGTGTCCAAAGTCTGGACCCGCACAATGACTGTTGTGTTCATCTCTGTCTTTTGTCTTTTTGGACTGCCTGCTGTCCAACAACCCTTACCCAGCACACAGTAGGCACTCGACCCAGACCAGGGACCAGCTCTCAGCTCTTGGTAGCTCTAATGCCTGGGTACTTTCTCTTTGTTTCCAGCCTCAGTTTTTCTGCAGTCTAGGTAGTAGGTGAAATTAAAGCAGTCTCCTGTGATAACACCTGGATTCATTCATTATTCATTAATCCTTTAAAGCAGTGGTTCTCAACCTTCCTAATGCTGTGACTCCTTAATACAGTTCCTCATGTGGTGGTGACCCCCAACCATCACATTATTTCATTATTGCTACTTTGTTACTGTAATTTTGCTACTGTTAAAAATTGTAATGTAAATATCTGTGTTTTCTGATGGTCTTAGGTGACCCCAGAGGGGCTGGGACCCACAGGTTGAGAACAACTTCTTTAAAGAAAGAGTAAGGTCACAGAAGAGCTCCCAATGGTCACCTCTTGCCCAAGTTCAGGGTTTCACACTGGCTCACAGACAAGAGCGTATTAAGTCCTTTTCTGTGCCCATGCCAAGAGAGAGCAGGTGCTAGTGAGATACACAGTTCATCTTCTGGGGCCATCGGGCACACTCTGAGCCAAGTCCCTTTTGTTCTGCCTCTAGGGTAGAACTTCGTTCTGGAGAGACTTACAGGAACGGCCCAGCTGTCCTTAAGAAATACTGGTATGTACTACATAGAAAGAGGAAAGGACAGGACATTCTGTGTCATCACACTTCACTGCCACCATCTGATGTGGCCATCACCCCCCCTTATCTGCAAATGAAGATATGGACTCAGAAGCCTCCCACCTTTGAGGGGCCTATGAGACCCGACTACCTCACTTGTTCCGCTTCCCATTGTACCAGGATCAGGGCATTACCTTTAGATGTATGCTCTTGTTCCAATTACAGCCTTCTCTTAAGAGAAATGGCAGGAATAGTTGTGCCTTCCAGTTAGATATTCTCTATAATTGGCAGCAACCTGGACCTCAGCCTTACTTAGAGGACTGTGCTATCTGCACATGTAGTGAGTTTATTGTGTGCTCAATTTATCTAGTTCAGTGCTCTCAACAAGCCGATGAGGAAGTACTAAGGCATTGATCTCCAAATCTGCTTTCCTTAACTATAAAACAGATCAGATAACCATGGCCAAGGCATAATGATAAATCTAAGATCTGAACCCAGGATTTCAGCCTTGGCACTAATTCCAGAAGGATTCAGACCAGAACAGACAGCTTCTATATTGGCTTTCCAGTATGGATGCAGAGAGGACAATGATGCAGGCCAGTGAAGGACAAGAGGAGAGATGATGCTTGGGTTGGTTTGCTTTTGCACCCCTTCCACCTTTGGAGACAGAGCCTGATGGTGTAGCCTTGGCTGGCCTGGAACTCACTATGTAGACCAAGCTGGCGTCCCACTCAGAGATCTGTGTGCCTCTGCCTCCCAAGTTCTGGGGTTAGTGTATGCCACCAACTGGCCTTGCTCTCTTTATACCTTGATTACCTGAGCTCTATGAATGAAACCAGTGCCTCTTCTGACCTGCTTCAATCTCAAGGGGTGGTGGAGGTGGGAGCTGAGGCCAGTTAGACGCTGGTTAAGTTCTGACCAGGGGATGTTTTTCAGGAGTCTCACTATCAGTACACTAAAGAGCCACAATGACACATACAGCCATGGTCTGCACTGTGCACTAGACTGCATACCTGGTTAGTCATGATTCTAGTGTGTTAAATATCATTTCTAGGAGCCCACTGGTTTGGACTGAGCTAACACACCGGAGACAACAGACCATACAAGATAGAACCAACTCATGCTGAAGTTCTAAGCCACTAAGTTGAAACCAAGTTATCTGACCTCCCCAGAGAGCAGGAGAGAGAGATAACAGCCACCTCCACAGAAGGTCAGCTTTAGTCAATATTATAATGAAGTCTCTAAAGCAGTGGTTCTCAACCAGTGGGTCATGACCCCCTGGGGGGTCACATATCAGATATCCTGCATATTAGATATTTACTGTAGCAGGAATCTTAAATAGTCTCAATAAGAACAAACCTGGAGCTGGGTATTGGGGTGAATGCTGGAAGATCAGAGAAGCAGAACAAGCCACAGCTACCTCACCTTGTCAGTTTTTCAGCTGATCCTGTTTCCTCAGACTGGAAGCTTCTGAGTCCTCATTCAGAATGGATCTCAGCTGAACTGCTTTTCGAAAGCCTAAAAGCTTAACCAGCTCTAGTTCCTGGTTTTCACGCCTTATACACCTTTCTGCTTTCTGAAATCACTTCCTGGGATTAAAGGCATGAGTCACTATGCCTGGCTGTTTCCAGTGTGGCCTTGAACTCACAGAGATCCAGATGGATCTTTGCCTTAGGAATGCTAGGATTAAAGGCGTGTGTGCCACCATTTTCTAGCCTCTGTATCTAGTGGCTGCTCTGTTCTTTGACCCCAGATAAGTTTATTAGAGTGCACAATATTCTGGGGAACACAATATCACCACAATTTACGATTCATAACAGTAGCAAAAGTACACTCATGAAGTAGCAGTGAAATAATGTTATGGTTGGAGTCACAGCATGAGGAACTGGATTAAAGGGTCGCAGCGTTAGGACGGTTGAGAAGCACTGCTCTAAAGCTTACAAGGAAGTAACTATGAAATGACCAATACATCTGTTAGTTTGTCTCCTGTGTCTTCCTGTCTTCAGCCCTTTTGTCTGGAAAGCCACACCCTCAACTCAGCTCATCAGGACATTGCAGGATTCCAAAGTCACAAATAAAAGCCCATTAAGCTGTTTAAACTAAATTTTTCTTTATCTGACTGTCTCATTGCTACAGCATAGAAAAGTGGTAGGACAGTGTAAGTGCTTTGGTGAGAGGGGCCAGCCTTTCTGGTGTTTGGTTTCTTACACCACCCCACCTTGCTCTTGAGGAGAAGCATTTCCTACCACACAAGTAGACGTGGGCAGTTCTCCAGTAGCAACACAGTAAGTAGGAAATAGACAGCAGAAAGGAAGGTTTGCAACGGTGGGTGAGGGAAACCTCCCGTGAAATGCTGCTGTGCCCTTACACAAGTGTCTCCTGGAGTCCCAGGCAGGGTCACCTCCTCCGCTCCCTAGTGCAAGAAGAACACCGAACCCAGAGGCAGAAGAATGACCCTAAGCACACCTGGCCAATGCATGTAAGCTCCACAAGCCTCCTCTCTGGTACCCAGCTCCTCATGGGTCCGAAGGCCAGGACCAATGGTCTCTACTGCCCTTCGCAGCTCCAACAGAAAGTTTTCTTGTTCATACCATCATCTGCAATCCTGCGATGCTTTGACCATTGACTGTCATGAGTGCTCCCACCCTGTACCACACTCTGTGGTAGGCATCACAGGGACACAAGTTCAAGATGTCATCCATGCTCTCAAAAGAAAAGAAAGGAAAAGCCAGCAATGCTCACCGAAGTTCAAATATATGTTCCATATGTGCTACTTGCCTACACAGCCCTGCTTCCTCCAGCACCGCTCCTCATGCTCATGCTGTGAAGTCAGACACTGCTAAGGCAAGCACCCCACAGGTACTGGAGAGATGGCCAGGGTTAAGAGCCTTGCTGTTCTTGCAGAGGACCTGCGTTTGGTTCCAGCACTGATATGGCGGCTCACAATCATCTGAAACTATGTCCCAGAGGACCCAATGTCCCTTTTGGCCTCCGCAAACACCAGTTATACATGTGGTGCACAGACACACATGCAGGCAAAACACTCACACACAGAAAATAAAAACAAACAAATCTTGAAGGAAAAAAAAAAGAACCTCCCACCAGCATTTTATAATCATATTTCTCGATTTTTTGTTTGTTTGTTTGTTTTGTTTTGTTTTTCGAGACAGGGTTTCTCTGTGTAGCTTTGCGCTGTTCCTGGATCTCGCTCTGTAGACCAGGCTGGCCTCGAACTCACAAAGATCCGCCTGCCTCTGCCTCCCAAGTGCTGGGATTAAAGGTGTGTGCCACCACCGCCTGGCTCGATTTTTTTTTTTTAAAGGACATGTTTTTGCTCTGTTTCCTGGCTCAGACCGTGAGCACTCACTCTGACATGCCCTTGTGCCATGAAGTATTACCCTTGCCAAAGGCCCAGGCAGGACAATGGGCTACCCTATCTTGAACTTGATCCTTCATAATCAAGAGCCAAAAAAAAACGGAGGCGTGGAGATGAAGAATTTCATCATCCATTTTCTCAGGTGAAGATGAAAAGGCCTTAGCAACGGCTGGCATATGAGAAGTGTGTAACAGCTGCCTGAATGAGACCTTGGCAACTAGATCATCCTGTGACTGTCCCCTTACTTGAATTCCTACCATAAGAAATATGTAGCCCACTCCTGTCTTTTTCAACACAGCTTCATGTACGGTTGCCCATCTTCCTGCTATGAATAGTCAGTTCACTGGCCCAGCTGTTGTGGAATCAATGCTTCGTCACTCAACAAATATTTGCTGAATGATTAGCCAGTGAAGAGTAATGAAGGTCCCAATTGAACCCAATCATTTTCTCAAGCACATGGTGAGACAACAGGATCTTCTCTGGAATAGAAAGAGGTGGATAAGCCCCCAGAAACAAGTTCTCTGCCCCAGGGCAGTAACTTCCCAGAGACCCTCCCATCCAACTCACCAAGAAATGAGCCCTATCCAGTCGGATGAAATGCCTAAGGCCAGCTGGTCAGGATTATAAAATGTCTCCCCAACTCCCATGATCTTCTTACACTCTCACTGTTCCTGTTCAAGACACTTGTAGCAGCACAGGGCAGTTTACTACTGTCATGACTCAGAGTGGTTTGAGCGTAGCCATCTGCCAGCCCACAACCATACTTCCTCGGGAATCTCAGAACACAGAAGTGAGACTCCCAGCTCCTTGGGGGGGGGGGGGGACTCCCCTGTGGGTTCCAGAGGAAGATACTCCTCACTGTCACAGGCCAACTTCAGACTCTTCACTCCACCTATACAATCTTGCTAAAGGAATGTGGCCAAAAAGAGACCCCCAGTTTCCACTGAGGCCTCCCACCTCCCATTTTTCCCTGATTTATCGCCATAGACTTTGATGTCTCTATTTTTCCTTCCAGAAGTTAAGACTTGCTTTTGTTTTTCTTTTCAGAAAAGGACCATCCCTCCATGCAAGACCCTTTTTGGAAATGGTAACCCTCATATAGAAACAGGCTGTGTCAGTACCTGGATGTGCAACTCATAGGAAAACTCCGGGTTGCAAGAGGCCAAACATGTGAGTCAGCTGGAAGCTAATCCTTCCCTTCAGCACACTTAAAATACAAGAACCTTCTAGAATGAGTCTATATGCTGCCATTAGAGACCTCTTACAGACTCACCTTAGAAACTGGTTGGGGAGTTTTATGGTGTTTGGGCCCATGCTGTCCTGATATAACCTCCCTCCGTGTTTCAGTTCCATAGTCCACATTCTTTCTCCCTTCTGCCCTGACCAGATGTGTTGACATCATTAAAATAGTGTTAAGGACTGCTCATGTGGATGATGGGACCAGAGAGGCATGTGGGCAAGTATAAATTGGAGGTAGGGGGAAAAGCTTGTAAGTGCTGTTAAAAATTATTTTTGAAAGCTACACACCGATCCATGTGACCACTTCAGTACCCACCTTGCCAGCTGCTCGGGGAAGGGGGAGACTAAGTCTGAGAATGAACATGGACGGACGGAAGCACTATTTACACACAGTTGAGCTTATCAAGAACCATCAACTGCACAGAAGGGAGACTGCAGTTCTAGTTTCTAGTTTTCCCATCTCTGGAAACACCTATTCCCTAAGATGCTTACAGTTCTCACCAATGACTGGATTAAGAGCTCTGCTGGTGCCCTGCCTGACACCACAAACCAGGGACAACACGCCACAGAGAAGCAGCACAATCAGAAACTAGTCCCCATCACCACGCCACTCCTGCCCCCCACAGACATCCTTGACTTGGGGTTAGGAAGATGTGTGCCACAGCAGGGATCTTTAAGCTGCAGAGAGGAGACGGAGCTCACTATTTAAGCACTCAGTATATATAATAATCACCTTTATTACCAGGTCCCCTCAGCTCTAAGTCTTAAGTTTTTAAATATTCTAACATTGCTGTAACACAGCACACCTTAAAAATCTCTACACATTTTTGTGGTTTTCTAATCCTTCTACCCCTTAGGCTGTAATTAAATGAGCAGTGGGTCCCACCACTGGCATTTTAGAATCAAAGAAACATGGTCTTAATGTCCAGGACAGTGATTGGAGCACGGAGTGAGGGCCAACTACATACCACAGGCCTATGTTTAGTTTGGTGTCGTGGGGTTAAAGGCTAAGGACTAAGGGAGCCCAGGCGCAAGGAAAAGAGAGATAAGGATGCGGACAGGAAGCTAAGGAACTAGAGGCAGCAGGTCCAGAGAGGACCTGAATTTGGAAACACGCAAACAGGAAAGCTACCCCGACGAAGGCATCCAGCTCAAAGACGGGGATGAGAAAGGAAATGTGTGTACCAGCTCTGTAACGAGCCACGGGGGTGGAGAAAGGTGGTGGGGGCGGTAGAAGGTACGTCAACTCTCTTTTCTCCCCAGCACTGCTCCACCACAGCTACGGAAGTTGGCAAGAAGCGTCCCTGGACAAGGCAGGGTACAGCCACAAATCCGGACTGGAGAAAGCCTCAGGGAAGAGCACAGGGAACAAGGAAGCCCCTCGCAGTTTAGAGACAGGACTTGACAGAGGACAAGCCAGGAGCAGAGGACTGGTGGGGGGGGGGGGGGGGTTGCGAGCCCCGGAGAACTTGAAGGCTATGAATTGGGGGAGGGGAGGGACTGCGATGGGCCAAGGAAGCAGCGATGGGGAGGGGACGGGCTAGCGGGATGGCTGGCGGGACCTGCCCGGGTGGGCCGGGGGGTGGGGAGGCGGGGAGGGCTCCACTTCTCACCCTGCACGTCGTTGGCCAGCTCCCTCCACGTCGGGGCGAAGGCGATGCAGTGGCCACACCAGGAGGCGAAGAACTCCACCACCCAGGCGCTGGAGGAGCGGAGCACCGCCGGGCGCAGCGTGTCGGCATCCAGCACCGTCAGAGGGTCCGAGGACGAGTAGAGCACCGAGAGCTTGGCCGCGCCAGCGCCGGGCACCGCGAGCAGCAGCAGCGGCGGCAGCAGCAGCAGCGGCGGCGGCAGCAGCAGCAGCTGCGACGGCGACCCCGAGCGGCGGCCGCACCTCCTCATCCTAGGCGGCTGGAACGTCCACCTCGCTCAAGTTTGTGACCAGTCGGTACCGGGAGGCCGCCGCGAACCTCCGGCCTCCGCCCGCGAGGAGGAGCTACGAGGCTCCGCCCCTTGGCCGGCGCCGCCTCCGGGGCCGCCCCTGCCGGCCGGGCCGCGGGCTCTGGAGAGGCGGGGCGTGAGCTGCCACCAGCCAGGCTCGCGGTGGAGGGCGGCGGCGCACCCGAAAGTCGGCGCCGGCCGGTCCCGCCCCCCCCCCTCCCGCCCCCAGCGATCTCGGGCCCCGGGAGCCGGGTCCGCGAACCCGGTGCGGGGAGCCTCAGGCCGCGGCTCGGGGGGGGGAGGGGGGGGATGCTGCGGGGACTGAGAGCGGCGTTTGGCCACTCTCGGCCCCCGTATGGGAAGGAAGCGGAGTCCGTTGGAATGGTCGTTACTGGTTTAGCTTGTTCCTGGAGAGTTCCAGGGGGCTTCCCTCACGCAGTGTTGACAGTGGGGATTCGAAGTAGGTGGGAGGGAAGAGCCACGAGGTAGGAGATTGGGATGGCCAAGGCCCGCAGGAGCCAGAAGTACGCACGCCTCCACCGCCTCCGGAGGCCAGTGGCCGTTCAGTCCTGGGAGCTATTGCTTGAGGGCTTTCCAGCCACGGACAAGACGCCCCCTCCCCGCCGTCGCCGGGGCTCCCTTGCAGTGGAAGCAAGGTTTCTTTAGAGTTCACGTCCCACCACCTTGGAGGTTGTTTAGTTGGGTTGATTCCTCCAGGGGGGTGGCCCCCACAGCCCCGACCCTGCATCTCCCTTAAGCCTGTTCAGAGAGTCCCATACCCCCATGTTCGCTCAAGTCATCTGATCAGCTAGTCCTGTGTTCACAAGTAGGAAGGTGATCATGGGTTTCCTATGGTCACCTTTTGTACCTCAGGTGTCTTATGAGGTATCTTGAAGGGAGTAGGTGGTCCTCAGAGGATTGTCACACTGACCTTTTGTGTCTCTAGGTTAGACACACACACACACACACACACACAATTAGACACACACACACCCCGTGACCTATGGGGGAGCTCTTGAGATTTGTTACTCATTTTCTTCAACAAACTCAGTGATGTCTTGGTACCAGTCATGCACCAGATATTAAGAATAAAGCGATAGAAGACTGAAGGGTGTGAACTTACATCAGGGATAAAGGATGATACCCAAGTAAATGTAGATTGACCAATGACAAATAATATAGGGAAACTGGATTATAATAGTGACAAAGAAGGTTCTCTTTTAGACAGTGGTCAGGGACAGGGACATTTTAATATTTGCAAGGACCGAGTCAATAATACCACTGAAGACCACATATAGGTTTGTATACTTAAAAAATGACAAGCCACCGAGTAGGGGTGAGGCATGCCTATAATCCTAGCTATTCTGCAGGCTGAGGTGGACCACACAGTGTCTCAAAAAAGAAAACAACCAAATTGTTATACAAAATTCCTACCCTCCTATCTAGACATGTGTACCTTCATAATAATCTGGAGGGCCAATTTCTTTCTCTGGAGTTCTTGAACTCCCCCCGAGATGTCCACTGGAATGTGCTAGCTTGATGGTCACTGGTTCCCGGCCTTTTCTCTGTTGCCCTCTGCTGTGTTCCATTGTGAGTATAATTGTACCAGCAATTGTATATTCTTTGTATATCCACGCTTCGTACAAACAAGCCGTGACTCTTCAGAAAGACAGCCCTTGGGAAAGGGTCAGTGCAGGCTGTGTGTCCAGTGCTGGCCTGTTGCTATAAAGGCAGGGTTTTAGGGTCTCGGGTATTCAAAGTATAATGTTTAAGTCTGTAAGAGGCGGGAGCTTTGAGTGGCACACATGGTTTTTTGTTTGTGTTTTGAGACAGGGTCTCTCTATTATGTAGTCATGGCTGTCCTGGAACTCTGGATGTAGACTGGTCTGGCCTTGAACTCACAGAGATCCTCCTGCCTCTGCCTGCCAAATGCTGGGATTACAGGTGTGTGTTACCACCACCACCACCCCTGGTGCACATGGGCTTCCTGCTCTGTGGAAATGAGGTAGTTGAAAGAAGACAGCCCCAGGGTTGGGCTTGGGGTGTCCCAATTTTAAGGAAGTTCTTATGAGGAAACATTTGAACCAAAGATTAGAATGATTGGGAGGGAACTGTGTGTAAGACCATTCCAGGCAGAGGTCCAACAGTTGGGGCTTTTGCTTCCTTCATATTTATATTCTGTCTGCCTAACATTTAAAACTCCTAAGGAAATGATATCACCAATTGGGAGGTTAGCCCCTCTCTAATCCTAAGCCAATTTGATGTGCTAGGCATTGCTCCCTGGGCTTCAGTCCTGCTAAGCTTTTGTGGCCCCACTTCCATCCATCCCAGCGGCAACTGGGTTTACAGTGTCTCCTGGGAAATTTGATTCCAGGGATTGAAAGTACTGTAGCTGCTGGGTCAGGTGCCGGTAAAATGTGCCTTAAATGTCTCCATTGGTAAAGGTGTGTAGTTAGCTTCCCCAGAGGCATGAGGATTAAAGAGACACTGTGTGGAGACCAGGCCGAGTGCCTGGGAAAGAAAAGAAAGAGAAAAACACAGAGATTGATTGGCTTGTTTCCATATCTTAGAGAATCAGAAACAGGAAACAATACAAAGTATTTGAATAAAGTAGAGAAAGTTTCTTGGCACAGAGGCCAAAAAGGTTAGGACTGGGGGTTATAATGTCTGAGGTTTCAATTTTTTCATCTTGGAAGTCCTTGTTCAGTTTTGAGAGATGTGGGGGCCCACAAAGCTTTTCTAGTGAGATCCGAGCTTGCTCTACACAGCAGGGCTGCATTAGGGGGATGGTTTGACCACATGCATGGTCACCAGGTGTCTGGGATGGTCTGCACTTGGCTGTGCAGGAGGGAGGGAGGTCTTTGGCTCCACCCCTTGGCGTTCCTTTAAAATCCTTTAGTAGAGACAGGAGGGGCTGGTGGGTTTTGACCCAGACACCCCCGAGGCTATCCTGTGTTTCTAACTGTCTCTCTCCTCTGTATTTCTATCTACATATTCCTCATTTCTCCCTGCTCAAGAGTACTCTGGTGGGGGGGGGGGGGGGAGAGCAGGTCTCCCTCAGAGAGAGAGCTTACACAGATAACACCAAGCCCAGAGTGACCCTGAGTTCCTATTTCCTGTGGTTTCGGGCTTCTTGGGAACCCTTGGTCCAGAGTTAGCAGAAATTGGGAACCACAAGTCCATGGCTTAGCTGGAAGAGGTGCTTGTTGTCAAGGCTGCCTACCTGGTCCCCACATGGTGTCACGAGAGACCCAACTTTCTACAGGTTGTCCTCTGACTCCCACTCCTTCACTGTGGTACCCCCAAATAAATAACAATATGTCACAGTTTGACCTTATTGTGCTTCCTTAGGATGAAAAGTGACAGAAAAGGAAATCTCTCAGAAATGAGAAGTGGAGAGTGGATGGCGGTGCTGTGGAAACCATTGAGAAGGGGGTGCTTAGAAATTCCTAGGCAGGCCCCCTTTGCTCACTCTTCACAAATCATAGTAGAATGAGCCGAGCTGAGTCAGCTGAGAATTACAACATTAGATATACATTTTGCATCTGAGTTCTAAGCACTGCCACCATGACTCTTTCGGTCCTCTTTCTAACTGTGAGGTTGATATGGTCCCATTTTACAGTTGAGACTAACCAGGGACCAAGCTGACTTTCCTACCTATGAGTCATTCCTGTATTATGCACAAATTAAAGAGGGAATTTGGAGATCTAATGAAACAGACAGTGAGAGGAATGTAGCTTATCCGCAAATACAGCTAATTATGGTGAGCAACCGAGGAGTGTTTGGTAAAACATGTCACCAGGTAACAGCATTAGATGACTGTCTACTTACTCACTTATCTGCACGGAGAATCAGAGGGGTGTGTGCACTGGGAGGAAGTGCCAGCAACAGAGAAGCACACGTGTCTGTCACTTTAAACTTGCCCTTCAGTCTCCAGACAAACTTCTGGTGTTAGGGAGTTTCTTTTCTTTTGTTAATAACACAATACCACATTCTGAGTAGATTCTAAAGAAAAGACAGGTATTTTATTTTGAGGGTTCTGAAGGTCCACACCTGGTGATGGCCTTCCTGCTGCCAGAATACCCTAAGAGACAGAGCACACTGATGTGTATCATGTCTCATTTCCCTCAGTTTCGAGGTGCTGGGGATAGCAGGGCCGTGTGCTTGGTGGTGTCCTGCAGGGCTGCAAACACAGCCCTTGATTTTTCAAGACTTCAGCCTTGGCTGTCTAGAGAGCCACCTGCCCTGGTCCTCTCCTCCCTTGGGTGCTGGGATTATAGGCATTCACCACCACATTGAATTCTTCTCCCTCTGGTAAACTCAGAATTCCATCATGGCTCCACCATGATGACCTTATCTAATCCAGATCACCTCTCAAAGGCCTCACCTTTTAATGCCACAGTCAGACTGTCGCCCCTCGCTCTTATTTTGTCTCACTAAGCTGGACTTTGAACTCTTATTCTTCTGCTTCAGCCTTCTGAGGGGTTCGATACAGGCTTGTGCCACCCACCATACCAGGCTAAGTTTCTATCCTTTTAATAATTCACAGTGGGTATTAGATTTCATCACAGGAAACACTGGGGTATATATACTCAAACTATAGCCAAACCATTGCACTCTCCACAGCTGGGGGCAATTGGAATTCTTATTCTGAAAGTCTCAAAAGAAGTAAAGAGTTCATGGCAGGAAAGAGAAGGCACATTCAAAACCTCCTGCGTTAGTTTCTTACTGCATTGACAAATAGCTGACCACCTAAGGAAGGGTTACTGTAGCTCACAGTTTTAGAGGATACAGTCTTGATGGAAGATGTGACAGCAGAGGGGTTAGGGAGAGGTCACAATTTATCTTCAGTCAGGATGAGAAATGAACGTTCATGCCCACCACACTCCCTCCCACTTTTTTTTGTTCAGTCAGGGATCCCATTCTGTGGGATGGTGCTCCCCACATTCAGGATGGGTCTCCCATCCTCAGTTAATCCTCTGTGGAAATTCCCCTACATCTACCCAGTGGTGTGCCTCCTAGCTAAGTCCAGTCGACTTGACAATATTGGCCATCAGACTTCTTGAACAGACTTACTAAAAGGACTGTTTACAGGGACATGTG